CTGACATTTCATCAGATATGGATCAACTCTAACAGCAAATTTCATCAACATTTGCAACTTGCCTATGATTTGAGGTGAAGGCATTTCATAACTTCGTAATTTAAAGTAGGAAGGAGAACTGAACAATTGGGATTTGAACAAAATTAACATGGAAAACTGCAATTTAGCTCTTACAAACCATAGACATTTTCTTTTAAATCTTGAAGAATTCACCTTGTAGTCTAAGCCCTCTGAGCAGTTGAACACCAGACACTGTTTGCCTACAGCCTTGGCCAGATCCTTCACTGTCTCAGTCTTGCCTGTGCCAGCCGGCCCAGCCGGGGAACCACCCAGATGCAGGTACAGGGCACCGGTCAGGGTCAGATAGCAGCGGTCAGTCAGGGGAGTAATGACCAGACGGCTGGAGCAGCCGAGGTATTCGTAGCCGTACTGGAAGGAAGCGTTGGCCTGCTGCACCATGCACGTATTATGCTGTTCGTCCCATTCATAGCGCAGTTGCCTGGGGAATACGGCAGGGTAGATGCGTTAAAATGGACGTGGACAGCAATTCTAGGCAGTGTGTTAAGGAAAAGTGTTGTATGAGGAGTCTGAGTATCAAGTAAATCTTCTTGTCTTTGGGGACAAAAAAACGAAACCATCAATACTAAGCAAATTCAAGTGATAACCATCCGTCAAGCATCGGTTGATTTTGCCAGGTGCCAGGTACCCAGGATATATTGACCTATCACCATCCACGAGCATTATCCAATCACAGTGTCCGTTGTACATCATGTGATATTCCAAACCTTGGACAAATAGAAGCATTCCAAACACAAATGATCTACCAACCTGTGCATCTGTTTGGCCTGTTCACTGATACGAAATCTACCACTGCATATCTCTTTAACTGAATACAAACTGAATGCTGTTGCTCAGAAATGCGAGCTACTCTAGAAGCGTTCAAAGATGCAGCAAGCACTACAAGAACACATATGTTTAATGTACTGATAGGTGATAGTGCATATTACGCATCGCACACACAAGTACTACTTCAGAGGCTTGTGCTCAAAGTTGTCCGGGGGGAGGCATTGCTAACTCGCAAACGGCGATACATCATGTCTGTGCACAGGTTACCATGGACAATGGTTGCAGCTTGGACTTGTCCATTGTTGTGTGTGTGTCTGGCACTCACATGAAAGCCTCACGAACCTTCAACTTATAACTGGTCCTGAGCAGTGCGTGGCACGGTGCACAGCAACCGATGCACACATGTGGTTTGCTAGCCCCATGGGATATCATTGTTATTACAAGTGCTGAAAACCATCAAATCAAAACAAGGAAAGCACTACCACATCAAAATGTATTTCCGAGAAAACTGTGAAAAAAAGGGTATTAGTAGAGCCTGATGGAGGACATGTTAAAACAATTCAACAAAAACTGGAATGGAGAAAGGCAAACAGTACAAGAAAAAGGTTGAAAGAATGGAAAACATAGACAAAAAAATCCCAGACAGACACATCAGCTTGTAAAAGCAGACGGTGGCTCACACAGGGAAATCCGGGATTTGATCAAGAATTTATACCTCGTCCAATCAAAGTCGTCGCTGCGACGCACCTTCTCCTCAATCAGGCGGTTCAGGATGTCTCTGGCATGCACCACAATGGTGATAAGTGCCTCTACGCTGTGTCGCTGGTAGGAGCTTAGGGGCTTGGTGACCATACCAGCCAGGGTGTTCAGACGGAATACCAGCTTGTCTCTGGTCTCAATCAGGGAGGAGCCGGAATTGGTGGACTCCAGGCTTGCGACTACGTCACGGTTGAACATGATTTGCACCTTTTGGGTGCAGTAAAAAACGGGATGTGAAGATATTGCCAGAAATGTATTACAGGTTTACAAGTATTTTACTTGAGCTAAATGCCCATCTAGAGTGACACAGAAGATGATGGCACACATGATTGAGACCTGTGCCTTGTGTGGTTTGTGCAGATTCTGACGAAAACAGGGTGTACTATGTGGCAAATGAGCTTACATCAGTGCCCGCATGCTGTATGTCCCCCGCATTGGAGGTCTCATGAGCAGTCTCTAAGCTTCATCTGCTATTCTTGTACCAAGCTAACATCTCAACTCAATCATCCATCTACTTACCACAGTCAGAACCACTTGACCCGGGTGACTCAAGACCCAATCCTGGAGGTTACGGCCCCATCGGTGAACACACTCTTTGAAGTTTCTAAAGAAGTTTAAAAACCATGTGAAGGTTGTCAAAGGTCACAGATCAACAGAATCTTTGTAGGTGCACCATGTACAATCTCCTTTAAGAAGTCTGGTTCTAAAAAGAACTGGGTAAACCTCAAGTTTTGAACAGAATGACTTGTACATCTTGGGAGACTGCACGTGGTGATACTCCAGTCCTTTTGTTTGGTGACAAATGTTTGTCCTTTACATGCCATGTTCAAGTGAGATGATGGTGTGTAATCTCATACATGCTTGGTCCCCAGGATAAACCTGCTATCGTCTATCACCATGCATTCAAACTGTCTCTTCCCTTAAAAGTTACACCATGGAAACAGCTGTAGGAACATTCTTTGAGTTTGATTCAGGTCACTAACAGCCTTGCCAAGTTCAAAATTCCATATTTCTGTTAAAGTAACGGAGTAATGGTGCTCCCAGCGACATTTTTCCCACTTTCCAGAATTAATCATTCAGATGTTGAGAACTGAGCATCTATTTTTTTGAAACTTTGCAAGCTTTTTTTTTTTTCAATCCCAAAGTATATGAAACCAATACCATCCCTGAAAAATTCACCATTAGTAACTGGTATTGGTAAGCAAGCACATGCAAGTAGGAAAAAAACACCAATTTTTAAGGCAATTTGTTTATCATGACAGTTTGCAATGCTTCAACATGGTATAAGCCAGAGCAGGAGTTTTCTTAACTTATAAATCTAATTTGACAATGCAATGCAAAATGATCCCGAGATGTAAGTTTGGGTATGGAAATGTTTTTATGCATCGGAACTGGAATATTGGTATGAAACATTGAAAGACTACAGTTAATATGAAATGGCGGTAGAGGTTGACATGCTGTATCAAGGAGTGCTTTCAAAGTTTGCTGCTCAAACATTCAAGATAACCTCTCATCATCTGATAAAATTTGTCTCCATAGGGTCACCCCTTCGTTACATTCATTTTAAATTCAACATTGAATTCTGGAAGTACAAACTAATTGGCAATCGGTTTGGAAACTACTTTGCCCAAATGTTTTGATCAGAACCAAACCCAATGAATACATCTGGTTCTGACTGTAATGACAAGACCGAAATATTTTACGTAAAGTTGAAGCAGTGTACATGCAACTCATGCAATTGTAAATAACAAAACAATATATAAAGTAAAAACTGACATAGCTAGATTGCAATGTTAGCATAATTAATTACCGTCAATTTGTTATCTGTATAAGTCCTTCTAAAAGTGAATATTATCATACAATCGTCTGACATTTTCACAGTGAAGAAGTTTGCAGATCAGGGTTTAAGCTTATACCAGTCTTGGGAATTTTCCAGTTGTTTTGAGGAGATGCAGGAATGTATAAAATATTTTCACATATGTGATCTGCTCAAATGAACTGAGGTCAAAAAGACAGCATGTTTGTATTTTGCTGACAACAAATCAGAATTACGACAGATCAAAACGTTGATCAGGCATATTTTCCTCTTTGCTCTTGTCTTACTGGGGCAGGTCACACAATTTTGGAAGAAAAAAAAAGCAAAATAATCAGTTCATCACAGGTCACATGAAAAACTTCAGTGTGCGAATCTTGTTTGCTGGTATGTGTGAATTCCAATAGAAATGGAATGATTTTTCTTATAAATGTTCTGTTTATGAGTATGTAATGACACCTGCTGAGTCTTCTTTGCTAGAGAAGACAAATGAATTAGTATGGCTGTGTGCAAAATAGCTTTGTACTAATAGAAACAAACACAGGACATAACAAAAACAGCATCGTTATCAGTGCTTGCAATATTCCAAAACGGGTAAAAATAAAAAGTGGAACGTAGGTCAGTATCAACAATTTCTATGCCCATTTTGTTAGCTTGAACACTGGGTGATTTTTTTTTCTCTGGTCTTGATTCTGTAGAATGAGATTGGTGAGGATTATGAAAAGCCACGAAATTGAAAGAAGCAGCATTAATGTTTAGCCAGGTAAGGGGACAGAACTTTAAACAGTGGCCACTGAAAAAGGACAGAAACAGAGTTTTTGTTCATTAAGCTTGTCAATGGGTAGATTAGGAAAAACTGATAGTTGTAAGGAATAAATCCTCTTATACAGACAACCAATCAAAGAAAAGTCCTTGGAATTAATAAAATTAGAAATTATTATACTTCCTCTCTCAACTGAAAACTATTTGGTGAACAGGCAAGTTAATTTTTTTTTTAATTCCGCATAAATAACTGGTTAGTGGGGAAAAATTTTAAGCACAATAATTAGAAAATAAGCAGACCTGTTTATTGTTAGCATTTGCAAATAGCCACAGATTGAGCTTAAAGAAGGATTCAGAAAGCAACAGCATCTATTGTAGAGGCCTGAATTCAAATGCTATGTACACGTATGTCCGCATGCTGATGACCATGCCATCGAAGCAGAAAGTAACAGGTTGCATAAATCAATTTAGACATTTAGACATAGATTTCCCGAGAGTGTAACCCATCGCAGAGAAAGGAGTTTGTTTTAATTTTTCACTTCCAGATAATTCCGTAGGAAATGCAAATCTGTCTGCCTTGTGTCGGAGGCCACGTACAAAACGAGCTGTGTGTTACTTTTCACAGTGACAGTGCAGCCTGACAGGGTATTTTATGTGAACAGGACCACAAAATGAGAACTAAAACATGGGCCAAAAATGAGAATTTTCTTATGGTAATTGTTCACAATTGATAAAAACACCATGATACTTAAAACCTTTCATTCCTAAGCCTCCTTAACTGTTTTGATAACCACTATTGGTGATTTATGTAAACTGCAATATGAGTACAACCAAAATCAGTTTGAAACCAGGACTAACGTCACACTCACCCTTAACGCTCATGACTTCTGCACAATTTACAACTCATTTCTCAGAGGTGGGTCAAACTCAAGCATAAGGTTAAACGAAACCTTTCACATGCAAACAATACAAACACCAAAAGACAGTACGAGTAAAAAGTTGCGAATAAAAATGCATTTTGACAAAGAAAGGTGAACCACAGACTCGAGAGAGTAGGCGCCCCGGTCTGGCCATGCACTCTGCAGTCGTCGATCCATCATTGCAAATTTCATACATCTGTTATACACACGACAGAACAGACAAGCCGTTAACTTATTCTAGAGTGTCTATAACAGTTCACGTCTTTATGCACTCCTCCACTATCCAGAGTCTGCCTCGGGGAAAATACTTTCATATGTACAAAGAACAAACATTATCGTGCTTTCTTTTCCTGTAAGAGTCGGACTGACATGTTTGGAAGAATGTGCAAACAATATTACCTCTTCCTAACAGGTGAGCTGCAATACATTAACGGTTTGCATAAAGTCTGATAGTTACTTTCAAAAATTGAGTGACAATTTAAATATATTTAAAAAGATCACAGATTTTGACTGATGTACACTTCCAAATATGATAAATATTTGTTCATGTTGCAAACTCTAATGGTTGACTTATTTGGAAGTCATAAACATGAAGAATCATTCATGATCATTTTGGGTCATTCTGTCTGGCAAAATTATTCTCTTCACATATTTTCATCGACACTCACCTTTTGACTGTGTCAAACATGGCTGACTCCACGCTACCTAGCCATTGTTCTACTGGACCACGGGCACGGACATTCCTGGTGAGGAAAACAAAATGAATACTACAAAGGTAAGTGACTGCGGTACGCAGAGGACAGGTTCAACTTGGTTCACATGATCGTTGTGCAGTGGCATCTAAATTTTCTACAAGTACACAAAATATCAGTCAAATACCAGTAACACTCACTGAATAAAACTCATCAGGAAAAGCGTTATTTGTCAGTAACTTTTAAAGAAAATTTTGAAACCATTTGTCGTACTTGCGGCATTTGAATCGATAGCTTGAATAGACCTTACCTATGGAAAAGTCATATGTCTCGTTTGAGCAACAAGGTGTGGTTTTCATTCATTAGCATGGGGTACAACAGCACACAATCTGTGTAAGGTCTTTCTTTTACCCAGTAAATATTACTTGTACACAAGCCAAAATAGCATTCTTATTCATACAGGCTTTGAGTTGGGGCGTTATTTTGTTTTTACTTACTTTGGCATGAGTATGATCTCACCCTCTGCGGAGATCATAGTCCTGACCGTGGGCGGTAGCTTGGGTTCTCTCACTATCTCCAGGCTCTTGATGTTACCAAAGCATTTCACCAGATGCGGCTGCAATGGGATGATAAACAAGCAACATTTAAGTTTTCTCTCCTCAACATTTGGGTAAGTGTTGCTTTCCCACTGCCTTATGAGAAACAATTCTAGAAATGCCATGGGCAGTGGCCTCCTACATTTTCTCAAATATTGTTGCAATTTACTGTGCCGTGCCTTCAAGAATTTTTCTACTGATGTCTTGAAGTCAATTCAACAGCAGTTTTATGAAAGACAAACCGTCCTTATGAATACCTACTTTTTCCAAGGCAGCTAAACTTTTCTCGTTGGTATGTGCACAATGCACAGAGGCCAATGCATGTGATAGAATAGCAACACATATTCATAAAATAGAACACCCTCTCTGACCAAATTGAAACTTGACAGATGTGTTTTCAGAGAGACTATTCAGAGGGATGTCGTCATGTTCTATCTCACCCACTCCCCTTGGAGAAGGTCCACCAAGCCTGGCTCTGGTTTTAGGGTGAAGGTCAAAATCTCAGTAACAAGGGTATATTTTTCGTGGACCCTTGACTACCCACAGTGCAGCGTCTGATTCTAGCATGCTGAAAATATTTCAACTGCTTTAATGTGAGGACAACCCATCACCACTTTCTAAGTAAAGTACTCATTATCACAGGAACATATTCTCTAAGGTTGTTTGCCGATCCAAACTGACCTGAACAGCATCAGGGTTCTTGCTCTGAGCTAGAATGTCCAGCAACTCATCGTTACTTAGGAAGTAGAAACGAGGGAAGACCAGGCGCTTAGTCTCCAGATAATCCTGAAGGAAAAAATTATAGATATCAAAGCTTTCCATTATACGGGTAAACAAGAGTAAAATTTATTCTAAGGTCAGCCCGCACTTGGGGTAAAAGGAAAAACTAAATTCACAGAATTAGAAAACATTTGGGAAAAGGCCTTCATTATATCAAATTTGAGTTCAGGCCTTTTTTGAGCAAACTATGAACCAGCCTTAAGTTGAGAAATGAAATCGGTTTTGAACACCTCATGGCCAGAACCTACAGGCTCTCATTCTTAAGCTCCAAAAATACCAAAACATCAGCTTAGTTGAAAGGATCTTGGATTAAGATCACACTCTCTAACGGTACATACAGTTGGGATAACCCCACTCCTACTGTTGGTTTAATTTATCTTTCTCACTTTCCATTTATTCCACACCAACGAAGCCTCTAAGATCTTACCTCAAGACACTTGTGAATCTTCTCCAAATTGGAGTTGTTTGTCTGCAGTATCTCAAGTACCCCAGGTGCTACGGCAGCCCTCAGGGCATTGGGTCTGTCCTCCGTGCGTCGCATGATGTCCTTCCAGGATTTATCCACTGCCGCGAACAGCTTGGCCTCACTGGGTAACTGCCTGAAAGACCATATAGGGTAACCATCAGTGCAAAACTTTAAACAATGCCTCTCTGGGTCACCTACAGCACTGTCTAGCAGTGAATAGTCTGGACATCAATCACTAAGAATCATGTCAGTTCACTGGAAGCACATCCTAAAGCTTTGAGAACTCATGAAGTGAGACATTAGCTTTGGGACATTACATAATGAACCAAACACTGTAACGGACACAGTGAAGGACACACTGCATGACACTGAGGCCTACCTCTGTATATCTGGGGCCAGAAAGATCTGCTCCAGATAGAGCCAGTTACGCTGGCAATTCATCCACTCGTCCAAGGTCCGCGAGAAGACGTTCAGCTTACGATCCCACTCTTCAACTAAAGCCTGGTTCAAATCACAGTTGCATCATTCATGATTGAAATATCAATGCTCAAAAATGTTGCTCTTTTGACGAGTCTATTTTATCTGCATATCGTTGGTACTGAACACACAGCTTCCTGGAAGTTTTGTACATAACTGTTTCAAAGCCTGAAGGCAGAATATGAACTCTGACACATGAGTATTTCTCAAAGGACACGACTCTTATGGAACATCATGTGTGCCTAAGATGAAAATGTTCATGAAAATCCGAATGGGACGGGAATGGGAGTTTATAATTGTTCAGTACAATTGTGATGGATGAAGTATACAGTTTTTTAAGAACATCATGGATTCTCGGCTTCTAAACAAAGCAAGAGTGGGCTTCTTTAAACAGGAATCTTGGAAAAATCCCCCAAATCTAAGCATGTAGTCTCAACTCAATCAGTGGAGCCAAACAAACAAAATGATGTACCCAACCATCTTTCAACTGTCTCTAACCAACCCCAGAACTGAATGCAGTAAAGGTGATGGGACACTATTGGCCTGTTTGTTTCAAACAGGTCTGAATTGTGATCAACAATCTGTCATTGGTTCACTGACATCAAAACCCTCCTCATGGATGGAGTGAACCAGTGTTGGGATCACTGATCGAGATCCATATCCCTGTGAAACAAACAGGCCCTATTACTGGGTTAGAGTATCGAGATGCTACATTAAAGAGTGATCCCCATGAAGTAGGAAATTTCCAATTTCCTACAAAGGGCGCGTCAAGTCTGTAACATACTTTGATTGGAGAGACAAATCGGGAGCCTCGGATGGTTGCTATGGTGACCTGGCTCTCCTCCAGCTGCTGGGTGATGTCGTCGGCACCAGCAATTATCATGAAGTCTCTGTTGCTGTGAGGGATCAGGCGGAAATCGGTACTCTGCCAAAGGTCAATCACCTGGAAATAAAAAGGGAAGTATCATGACATATCAATTGAGTTTAACTAAATTTGCAGCAGTCTTTAAAATGTGCACACAAAGATTGCTATAAATTTTCAAACACAATACATGTCAGTTTCTAAACCTTGGAATAGTGAGATGCAGTACATATTTTATTAAACCAGTAATTATAAAGGCAGTACTGTAGTATTATATTTGAATCCCTATAGGATGTGATGCCATGGCCCACAGCGAAACGAGACAAAAACTTTGCTTTAAGAATTTGATGTGATTGAGCGCTCTTCCAACTTGAACTACAAATCACATTATCACTTTAAACAAAATTCCTTAAAAAAATTTTTCCTTACCGTATCCTTATGTCCCAGTGGCCCAATGGTTACAACGTATTAAACATGACCATATTTGAAGATGTACATGAGCTTAAAAAACTGTTCTGCCACAATTTGAAGCGAAGCCTGCATCCGAAGTTCATGTGCTCTTAGTAAAACAGATGAAGGCTTCGTTTGGGAACATTCTGCTCAGAGGAGCCAAGATCTCAATCAAAGTATTTTCCAGACACACAGAGTGCCACACAGTACAATGATAATGTTATTTTGCATTCATTTAGTACGGATTCTTCTGTGTCTACCTTGTTGAGCATAATTTCCAGTGTGGCTTCATTGCTGGCCTGCGTGGAGATGTCATTGATTTTGTCCTTGTATTGAAACAACTGAAATTAAAAAATACAGCACTTAGATAATATCCTTTACACTAACTGTGGATAACTGTCAAGGAAAGTGGGATAATGGAGGACAGGGCTTGAAGACAGCATGCATAAATATCATCACAGGACACAGTACTTTCCCTCTAGGGCGAGGCGAGGCTCTTCATCAGGGACCGTCATCTTGAAGAGTCATTTGAGAGTGGAAATGCTCCCTCTAAGTCTAACTGAAATACCCCATGGCATGATGACTTCCTCATTTGTTTGGCGTATATCTGAATTCACTGAACTAAAGATACTGAAGCTACTAAAATCACACAGTATATCACAATGGCACAAGAGATATCAGTCAAGAATATATTTTTCACAATTAATGAGAATGATACAAAACAAAATGCATAATTGCAGAGCTAAAAGTGCCGGCATAAACCTTCACTATAAACATCTAACAAAGAAACATGGTGCACGAACGATTGGCATCCACTGTTATTGCACTAGGCTTCTTTTGTTAAATGTTCATAGTGCTTGTCCCAAACACATGGTAAAGCAACATTTGTCTCTGGTAAAAAGTATTGATGTATGATTGATCAGTGCCCAAAATGCTGATTTCTGTGTAGCTCATAATTTTTGGGGGAAAAACATGTAATTTACATTCCGGTAGGGTGCCTGGGGCAAACTAAGACAATCATTCATCAAACACTGGTTGATTTTTGCCTGGTACTCAGGAAACATTCTGTGCACAGGTTACCAGGGAAAAGTGACTAGTGGTCATCAAATAGCTGTCATGTCAACTAGCCCACACACTTCAATGCCAGTGCTGATATTCAAATTAATTAAATTAAATTAAATAAATTAAACTATGAAAGCAAAACCATCAGAGGTTCTTTCCTTTATTTTACCTGAAGATCCATGAACTTGCCCAGTGTGAAGTTCTTATCGCGCACAATGTGTCTGCCAATCAGGTCCTGTATCTCCTGCCAGTGGCGTGGTCTCAGGGCCGGGTTGCGCAGCGCTGTCATGATAGGCATGCCCTGCTTGAAATCAATCACTCGCTCCTTGAGCCGAGGCAAGACCTCATTGGGAGGTAGACCTGATCGTTATGACACACAGTTTGTAAAAAATAATATCAACACTTGAAATACCTGAGAGGAATGAAAAATAGATTACATCTGTCGATCAACTGATCAAACATCACTGTATTTATAATGTTCAGTTTTGGAGTTGAGTTCGTCACAAGTCCCTTCAAAAGTCCAGTCACACACCCTTTAAGAATGCCAGTCATAAGTAACAGGGTAAACAATGACAAAAGAATGCTTTTGTCATAGCCCATTTGAATAGCTTGTGAATTGGCATAAAGACAGAATGACTTGTGATGGACTTACAGGGATGTTGTGGTGGACTCGAATACAACATTGATACAGCTTGATCTACTGCCTGGGCTGTTACTGCAGTCAGCAACAGCCAGAGTTGTGGGGTTCAAAATTTGTCCCCTGTAACGTTTTTGGTCCCCACAGCAGCTGTTTTAGCACACATGTTGTTCCAACAACACTGTATGTGTTCCTCCAGTGAGTTGATAATGATTCGATCTCTTTAAGTACACAGAAAGAAACAACGTTTTGGATCTCAAATGTAAAGACGATTCCAAGGAAGTACCCTTCTCAAGCATGTAGACAGTCTGGGTGAACCTGTTGACGTTCTTCTGCACCACATCCACGTTCAGCTTGTCAAACTGGCTGGCGGTCCACTCATCCACGAGTCTGCTCCACTCCTCCGTGCTCTCCCACAGCAAGCGACGCAGCTGAAGGTCACGTTCCACCTCCGAGAGGTCATTCAAGACCTGCTGAGCGCTGACGCCACTATCCGAGTAATCGGATATGAGGGCCTCACTGCAAGCAAGAACAGAATTTGCCAAGTCAGACAACAAAAAGGAATGATACTCAGAGATCAGCTGGCCCAAATTAAGAAAAGCTGATAATGTCCCTGGCCTCCAGCTCAGGCACTGTCTTAGATGAATGTTTAAGACCAGCCAAGCACATATATATTCCCTTATGAGATGATATACTTTGGTTCTGGGAAATACTGAGCGAAGGACAAAGGCACAGAGTGTTGGTCTGGTATACTGTGGGTGCTTCACAGGTGCAAACTGAGTGTTCCACAGTGAGTACTGAATGAGTGTGCAATGAGAGTAGGATGAGTGTATGGTGAGTGTTGACGTACCGGCCAACAAAGTTCAAATGCTCCCAATAACAGTTTCGTAAAACAGTTCTTCTACATATGGGATTGAACTTTTGGAAACCTATGAAATTCATAGTTCTTGAGTCCCTCAATATGACAATCTGATGTATTTCTCAAATGCAGAAAAGACAAGAAAATGAATCAGATAAAGGGATGAGGTAAATTGTCCAATGTCTAAAAAGTATTGCAATTCAAAGCTGAAATTTCAAAGGGATATTGATATTCCGATTTGAACTAAAGAAGTCTTTAATTGACCCTCACCCAAGTGTGACACGTTCCCATATTGCAGGAATGAGCCAGTTCAGTATTCCAACAGCACATGCTCAAAATAAAGCGCATTCAAGGTCACCCGTGAGATTTGTCCAATAAGCACAGCCCTACGAGGACTTGTATGAGTTCTTTGTTCCCGAATGACCTTTCTGTTTTGGAATACCACACTGGCTCATTGCACGGGTAATTACTATGACTCTGAAGGCACAGGTCTGAAACCCTGACTTACTCAGCGATTCCTTTGAGTTTAGACTGGCGGGATATGGAGCTGCCGAAGCGGTCTTGGTAGCTAGCGTAGCTTCGAGCCTTGATGGTCAGGGTGCTGAGACTGTCTTGAAGAAGCTTCAGGTTCTCCAGGGCTACCACAGGCAGAGTGTCTGAGCTCAGGAGAGTGGGTTCTTGGACAAGGTTACGGATGTCGTAAGTCTCAGCCTGTGGGAAAAAAAACACCACAAAATGAACTGCTTCTGCATAGCGAATACTTTCAGAATGTTTCCCATTGCAAAAGCTGGTAAAGCCCGTGAAGTCATCTACCATACTAAACAGCTTTATAATGTTGGGTAATTTCTGTCTCCCAAAAAGTGTGTAATTACTCCTTGTTTTCATATTGTTGACCACTTATAAACACCTTTGGTTTAAGGTATTAGGCAGAAAGAAAACTGCAAAGTTAGTGTAATAGTAATTTTCCATCCAATTTTAACCAACCGCATTTCACAAGGTTTTCGACTAACCTGCAGAGCCTGTATGTGGGTATTTAGGTCATCACTGAATTTACTTATGTTTTCATCTTTCTTGGCTTCACAGTAGATGATAACAGTCTGCGGAAAAATGTCAATGAAAAAAAATGCACAATAAGCATTTCAATTAGCGACAAAGAAAGTGGAGACAAATTTGGAACAACCGACTAGCTTTTGTCTTGTGATTTTCCTAGTAATTCACGGTGGCGTCTTTCAGATCCTATTTCAGATACTATCCACCTTGGGCAGAAGCATCCCCTCAAGGATTGAAAAGAGCCCTGTTGGTGGGGAGTGTTCATTTTGTTGGTAGATGCTCGACTGTAATGCGTGCATTAAGTTACTGTTTATGAACCAGCACGGCCGTTTTCACCATGGCACCTACGTTGCTAAGGTACACTGTGCCCTCTCTTGGTCGTGCTCGGGTTGAATATGCAATAAGATGAATGACGTATCTAAGCCTACATTATTTGTTATCACACAAGCACTCGTGGAACACAGAATAAAGTGGTGCGTCTGTGTCCCGTATACCATGTGAAATTTGGTCTCATGGTATGCGGGACACAGACGCACTATAATATTCTGTGTTCCATGAGCGTGAGTGTGATAACAAATTATGGGTAAGCAAACTTGAGGCGCAGTAAAGATGTTAAAGGGGCCTATGCAAGCAAATGCGCCACCTTTAAATTTAGGGTAAATTTTGCAGTTGTGGGTTTTACTTTTAGTGTAAAAATAGCACAGTGCGTTGAGATACAACAGCACATTACGTGGGGTTTGATGTGGACCGCGCAACACAGCTATGCGTTACACTGTTTGCTGGCATGGATCAACCAATCAGAATGGAGAATTCAAGTTTGCCTTAAGATAATGTCATTTGTCAGAGTATCAGTCCAGGAACCATTACTCATATACAGTACCGAAATATGACGGCATTTTGAACCAGGAAGCATACTGAACAAGAATGGAACACGCACGCCCATAGGTTCACACACTGGTTCTCGCGCTAATTCCATTTAAACACGTAACTGTGCATGTGACATATTCACTTCGGACTCTATGGTTCCCGAGCTGGACTGACAGAGGGCACAATTTTCCTAGTAACGAAGGCTCCTTTGGTCACAACTGCACATCGCTGGTTCACAAACGACTGTGAAAGGGAAGCGCAGCTTCCTAACCAACATGGCTCTTTTCAACCGATGAGGGGGTGCTTCAGCTGAAGTCCAATACACCCAGGGTGGCCAAGGATCACAATCAATGTCATACAGAAAACACTAGTACGATGGTGGTGCTGGCATGAATTACTAAAAAGTGATCTATGAACAACATTTAAAAACAAATTAGGTACAAAAAAACATGCGCTATCACAGAGAAAAAGTGATAGCACAGTTGTAGGCTTAACGCCATGCAACTCAAAAGAAGATACACTGCAGGCCATTTTAAAGCTCTCACAAATTTGCATTTGTGGGTTGCTCTTGGAAGGCTTAAAACATTGAGTCCGGTTCCGCACAGATGCAGGTCTAGTTCCTAATGGCCACTCACCTTCAGATGTGTGAAACTGGGCATGAGAGTCTGGTAGAGGGCCAGCTCCTCTGGCTGGATGGGCATGTTGAAATTCCTGGCGATGGTGAAGAGCCTGGTGACCACGTTGTACTCCTCGTCGAGCTTGGACAGCTCAGAGGCGGTGTGAGAGAGGAAGGCCAGGTGTTCTACGAACTCCTCCACAGATTGGGGAGGGTGGTCCAGCTTCTTAGATGCACCCTGATCAAGGGGACAAACACAGAAAGAGCTGCGGATGATAAACAGACTGGAAAGACAGATTTTGGGCCAGTATTATTAAGGTGAGCACAAGGTTTTGTAAGTCATGGGCATTTCTCTACTGAGCAACAATAAGAGTACAGCTTTACAGACTCCTAGTCAGTATCTTGATTATATTATCCTACAGCTGATGAGATATTTCTCACTATTTACGTGCAGTATCACACCAGCACTTGTCAGCATTTTTGCATTCGGAGGTTCTAGCACAAATCAGGTGGGTCCAAAAAATGTACAAACTGCCTAGCACTACCACAATAGGTATAATGAGTTGCGCGTGGATGTTGACTTTAACCAAACTGTACGGTGAACAATGACCCTTTCCAAAGAGCAACCTGAACTGTTCCAATCTCACAGATAAAGTGAAAGCTCCACACTGCCAAAGCATTGCTATGTCAAATTGAGCCAATTTTTGCTCTAAACAATCAAAGTCTCAAATCACTCGCAGTTTGTACCTTGATAACCTTGATCAGATTCTCGTTTCTCTCATTGGCAATGACTGGTAGCCTGGCTCGGATGGCTTCCAGCACCTCATTGGGGTATGGAAAGCAGGCCTGCTTGAAGTTCTCTCCAAGCACCGTGACCATGCCGCGCCGTCGCTGAACCTCCATCCCTGTCATGGAACGGATCTGGTACACAGGAATAAAAAAAAAATTTTTTTTGTAGTTTCTCAAGAAAAGACATCTCTTTAGAGCTGAAATTGACTAAATTGAGATTGGCTTATGTGTTTCCTCTGCTCGGTATTGCTGCTCAAAGTTTGAGCTGGCAACTGATTCTTACAAGCCAAAGCTCATTTAATGAAAGTGGATTGCGCTCGAAACAATTGAAATTTCAGACCAGGAAGTGTTTTTCTGCTTTCTGTTTCTGAAAAAGCATAGTTGTTCAGCTTTGGAAAGGCACAGCACTGACATGACCTTTAATCTTTGATTAATTTCATCTAGGTTTACTAGGAAACAGTTCCAATATTCATCCCAGAGAGAAAGTGATAGTAAAGAATTAGGCAGGGATGATAGTGCATACCATTTCAGTGTGGGTAGAGAGAACATGGTGGAATTCCTCTGGAGTCCAGACATGTTTGCTCATAGAGTGTTCTACATCTACTTGACGAGCAGCATGGACCATCTCACAGTACTGCTCAAAATTCTACAGGAGAGAAATCAATAACCAACAAAAGAAGACTATATCATCATCTGCAAGGAAAACCAGCTATATACATCAGAAAGGTGATAAATCAAACACCTACAGATCCACTTTAACAGGTGACTTTGGGATGACGCGAGGCTCTCTCACAGCAACCCCAAAACAATGCAATTATTGAATAAACAGGGCACATTAGGCTATTCTGACTGTTCCAGATTCAGCTTGACAGTTCAAATGGCAGTGCCTTGGCGACTCTGACCAAAGTCCATACGTTAATGTCCAGAGGTTGGTTCAATAGTACCATACATATGCTGGCATTAATGGTACGCATATGTATACATAATACTACGCTGCTGGACATGTCCCTCCTGTGGTAGATGTCCTAACGCAGCCACAAACGACGGAGAATAAATAAACCCTCCAGTGCTGAGTGTGTTCCACACAAAAGCTCAAACTAGCTCAACAGAATGACTCATACCTTGCTGTACTCCATTACGTTGCCCACATTCTCGCCCACCAGTCTAAGCACATCCTGCACCATTGTCCTGTACTCTGGATCTTCCCCAAAGAGCAATTCCAAGTCTGGCCACGGCCTCTTGGTATCGTCCTCCTCCTGGACGGGCATGGACAGCTTGAGGTCGTAGCGAGGTGGGCACCAGAAGACGGAGAGATAGGGGTCGCGTTGTAGGGCACCAAATTGGCCTGTGAAGTGGAAGGTGACAGACTGTAACAAGGTCTCAGCAATCCAGGTCTAAATACAGTTCTACTTACAAACTGAAGATGGCTTTATGTGAAAATACAAACTATATGACCAGGAGAGCCTGGCAAAAAGCCAAAGCTTATGCGTGGCCAGAAAGTAGCCCTAATAATCACCTCTAGAACAGGGGATTCTCATTTGAATATCAACCTTTGTTCTGTATGTACACAAACATGAGGGCTATAACTGTGACCAGATCCAAAAAACAGGTCTTAAGACTTAAGATTTGGTTTTCAGTTGGCTGAAACTTTCATTTTGATGAATCATTCAGTTTGGCCTCCTAATAAAAATGCACACTGTGACATTGACGAATGCTCAGGGATTGTGCAGGATTCTTTCAACCACTTGCTGCCGGGGTGTCCGGCACCGGAGACACGATGCGGCCCTTCATTGCTGGGGTGCCTGAAATCGGAAGTTTCATTTAAGAAAAGACTGAGCTGCTGGGACTTGCCAATCAAGGCTCACACCCTGTCAGCGCAGAGTGCTGGCATTAGCGGAGGAAATCCGTCATTGTTTTGAAACAGTACCATTGTTTACCGCTGCCAGTGCCAAGCAGATTATCAGCACGGACAAAAATGCTCCAGCACTCCAGCAATGGGCTAAACAATACAGCTGCACGCTCGTGGAATCTGGCCGGATTAGTACAAACAATACCACTGTGCAGCATTCATTATGCCTGTGTGCCACATGAATGGCCTGGTTCACCCTCATGGCCCAAGCGCTGCTTGACCGTCAATCGCTGTGCATAGTAACACCGCCGTCCAGCATAGCAAAAAGAAAATTACGTGACACCGCACAATGGGGGCTCTTTACTGGATGGCAGGTGTGGCTGCAATACTCACCCCTTAATGGAGGTTGCCTGTCAGATTAGAGTTGCCACAAGACAGTCATTTGTTTGGGTGTACACGTCCAGTAAATGAAAATATGAATTTTTGAAGAATTTTGAAAGGGAAGAAACTGAAAAGTGGCCAGCAGCAGGTATGCATGCCGCCAACTCCACCCGGTATGAAGGGGTTAAAGACTTTTAACGCAAAACAGTCTCTGGAAACTTATGACTAAACTCTGTTGGATTGGGTCACAATTAGAATTCAGGAAATGAAGCATTACATAACACCACGAAAAGAATGATCTCAGGAAATACAATTTCGGGAGCTTTGAGTATCCTGCAAGTTTTAATGTCTGTGTTCTGTGTGAGATTCAGTCTAGCTAATCTGAGTATAAATCCACAAGAAAGAAGGGTTGAGAGCAGTGTTGTATTCGAGTCCGACACAACTCCCTGTAAGTCCATCACAAGTCCATCACAAGTCATTCAGTTTTTGGCCAATTCACAAGCTATTCAAATGAGCTGTGACAAAAAACATCCTTTTGTCATTGTTCACCCTGTTGTTCATGACTGGCCTTGTGAAGGGACTTGTGACTGGTCTTGTGAAGGGACTTGTGATGGGACTTGTGACTGGCCTTGTGAAGGGACTTGTGACTGGCCTTGTGAAAGGACTTGTGACTGGCCTTATGAGGGGACTTGTGACTGGCCTTGTGAAGGAACTTGTGACTGGCCTNTTTTGACTGGCCTTATGAAGGGACTTGAGACTGGCCTTGTGAAGGGACTTGAGACTGGCCTTGTGAAGGGACTTGTGACTGGCCTTGTGAAGGAACTTGTGACTGGCCTTGTGACTGGCCTTGTGAAGGGACTTGTGACTGGCCTTGTGAAGGGACTTGTGACTGGACTTGTGACTGGACTGGAATACAACAATGGTTTGGAGCAGCAGATGAAAAGTACAATGTAGCTTTTCACATCTTTCCAAATAGAACTTTTCCATATTGCTTTGGAAAAAGTAAATGAGGTCACACTACAATGAACAAAAACAATGTCAAAATGGCGGAAATGAATGAATTTATGTCATGAAAATTGTTCTTTACCAACTGTGTGCTCTAAGCCAGCAATGATTCCTCTGATCTTGGACATGAACTGTGTCTCATTTGGTGCCAAGCTGACAAACACCTTACAAGTGTCGTCTTTCTTCTCTGTCCGAGGCGTTCTATATAGAGTAAGAGAGGCAGTGAATTCTGATTAAGCAATTCTCTTTAAACAACAAAGACACATACACACCAGAAATTTCAACAACTGCGAGGATGTATTGACCATGCCAAAAATTATTTCAAATCAAAACTGCAAGTACAGAAACACCAAACATAATCAAGAAAAACGTTTGAAATGATAGCTCAGAAAGGGTCTCTTTTCTGTAACTAGTTTCTCTGGTTCTTCAAAAAGAAGTAAAAATAATGTTAGAACGTAAATGACATGAGTATCACCACCTTTTCTCTAAACCAAACATGTTTCTTATTCTTATGCCCTACTTTCTCAGCCCCAACGTTTCCTATTCCTATTACCCATATTTGTGTTAGGTTTCTGTCTCTGCATCACCTCCGTTTTAACATAATCAATGCCTGCAGTGAATAAATGAAATGACTTCAAATTTAGATATTTATTGTGGCAAGTGGGGATCAAATCTTGCAAATACTCTGGGGGGGGGGAAGCACAATCTTCATTTTCAGTTAATTTTAAGCAAGACAGTAAGACTCACAGCCTTAATCAGTGCTGACAGTGCCAAGGATATGACACCAGAGCAGAAAAATAAATATTGGCATCATCAAAGCATAACGTTTAACTAAAAAAATTACAAAATAATTTCTGGGTTCAGAGAGTGTGTCTAGAATTGCTAACCATCCTAAGCACTGAGAACAGATAGGAGGAGATGCTTACCTTTCTGGGTAAGCATACATGCTTTCTTCATCAAATCTCTCCGTTTTGACTTCAACATCTTCGTTGTCTGTATTGCCAGCGCCGAATTCATCAGCATCACTCTCATCTGTTTCATAAAAAAAAATCCTCAAAGAACCCTCCAAAGGCAGACACAGAATGAGCTTTACCAAACTTTTACCAATGAGTTGAAGCCCTTTTATGTTTCAGAAGATTTTGCTGAAATGTTCCAACTAGTCAGGGTATTTTATCAGTAACACTTTGCTTCACTGTCAACAAAATTTGGAGATGGTTTGGGATGGCAGACAGAGACAAAAGGATGTTACGTAGTTATTCTCTGTTTTGACTCCATGTGGATGGTATAATTCACAACAGACTGTCTACATGCACAGTATAACTTTTGGCTGAAAGTCATGACTTTGCTAAATGACAACATCCCATGCCCACTTTTCAAAAACAAAGTGGGAAACCTCTGTAACGTTTATTATCGTAACTTTGTCCTTTTGCAACACTCCAAGGAGCAGTATTTGCTACAGGCAAAAGCCATGCACAGAAGCCAAGTTCAAGTCCAACACACTGTCACCTCCAACAACGTGTGCGCACAAAACACAAAATTTGATGGCAAAGCCCATTACCCATCACTTTAGAACGTGTTCACACACTCTCCATGAAACTGTCACAGAGAATCCTTGCCGGTTGACACCCCCCCTCCCGGTACAGACTGGTTCATTACCTGAGCTGTCAGTCTCGCTCTCGCTGCTACTTGTGAGTGGCTCTTGATCAGGGAATGTCACCATCTTCTTCTTGAGAGAAGACATGGACTTACTGATGCTACGACTGGCTCTAGAATGAGACGACTTCCTGGAATTGGACCTGGAAAACATCGGGCAAAATAATGAACCACCAGTTGAGAATCTGGCTGGACCAAAGGCAGCATTGTAAAATAATAATCTAAGCCCCTCTCAAAATCCAGGAAATCGTTCAGAAGAGGTGGTGATAGAAGTTGAAATTCCACTATGCAAAAAGAAGCATCTGTTACGCTTGAAACACACTTTACAAAAAATAACACTTATAAACAATTCTACAAACAAACAAAATTACGGGTCTATCAGGCAGATAAATCTCAATTCATACCAAGAGTCTTTTTAAAAACTTTATGTTTTCATTCCCTAAAACTTGTTTAAACTACAACATGGGTTCTGTCACTAAATCAACCCTAGAAGTATAAGAACTTCTTCCCCAAGGTGACTGGAGGAAAGTTACAGCGGGCCTCAGCCTGCCTACTTTTGAAACATCACATCTACCCAGTGAAGCTGAGCATCGTCTAAATGAGGCATTTTCTACCAACTAATTTCCAAGTCATACATTCTAATGATAGTAACAACTACAAAGGACTTAGACCAGCAGAATGGAAGGATGCTTCGTGTCTTACGTTGTCTTTGAACTAGCCCTCTTCAGCTCTGGTACATTCAGCACCAGCTGGACCTCAAAGACTGGCTCCGGGGGCATCTCAACAAACTCCTGCTGCTTGATGTCTTCCAGAACCTACACCAATTTTAAAATAATAACAGGCTTGTCACGTCAAACCACTGACTTTTTTAAGTTTCAAAGAAATGTTACATTCAAGATTAATATAGCAATCATTTTATTACAAAATGTGGAAAATCCTTCCTGTAGTTATTGGAATCAATTAATCCTTTAGAGTCATTGTGCTTTTCTCTTTTTTTCCAAAGCTGATCTTTACTGACAAACTAAGAAAGATTAATTGTCTTCTTCCTTTTCTTAATATTTGGAAATGTAGTATCAAAGTCTATCAATGTATTATTCATTGTCCATCATTTTTCAGTGTCTCCTTCTCCTGTCTAAGTCTTGTAATCCTCTTTAATGAACTTCTCCAGACCAGGAAGTTGTCATGTTAAGCCTGGTCTCTACCTGGTCTATATCAATGGGTGCCACTTCCTCCTCTTGCTTATCAAAGTCATAATGAACAGTCTTGTCCTCGGCAGCAGAGGCAGGCCTGGATTCATCCTCGCTGTCTGTTAGCATGCCTAGTCTCCTTGAGAAACCTGGTTGGAGTCAGAATCAGTAAGCAGTGTTATAGAAGCTTGAAAAGAAAATGAGAAATGTACAGCATATCTGAACGTTGAAGAGTGCAAACCAATTGCTCCTAGGAATGTAATGTTACCACGAAGAAAGGGCTAAGGAGTAATGCATCACCTTGTGCATGGTAGAGGTACATTTAAGCTACTTTCTCATACAACTCTAATTGCATCAGGTGCCTTAATACCAACCTTCTGCCAGGCAGCACGCAATGTTTGCCCATGTGTAATCACATTACTTATTGGAAAATGTTAAGCTGGAAGCACACTTGTGGAATTGCCTGTTTCAGTGGGAATGCCTACTTTTCAGCAATATCTGCTTAAAAATGACAACTAAATATGAGATCTCCATGCACTCATTCTTAAAGGTTAAAAGAAATTCAAAACACGGTAGGACTGTGTGTCTTTCAATTTCTACCTTGAACTGAGGCATTGTTTGCCTGTGGGCCAAGCTACTTCAAACACAACAAAGTCTATTACGAGCCTGCGATAGTGCATGTACTGTGTGCTATGTACATATACACTGTCATTCTGGCGATGGCATCATCCAATCAGCCTGTCAGCGCGAATGGCCAAAAGGGAATTTTTTGTGGGCTGGGAAACAAAGGATCTTTTTATTCATTCTGGGGTCACAATTAATGGGGCAAACATTAAATTTACGATGCTTTTGAAATGGTTACGTATTTATTGTTATTTTTAAATACTTCACGTAAACTAAATGTTTTCAATTTTTGTTAACCTTTAAAGTTAGGCTATGAAGTGCATACCCATTTAGCACAAGTTTTATGCAAAATTCAGCCAAGATTTTCTGTGCAGATTTCTTAAAGATATTTAGCATGCCAATTTATAAAAAAAAATCCATAGATTCGTTCCCATTCAGGTGAAAATTAGATGTGCAAATATCGGACCACACCTGGGCACCAGTGCACACAAATGCTGTGTTCTTCATTCCGACAATCCGCATGATAACGTAACACAATTTACAGTCCCTACAGAATCCTTACCACAGAAAAATTATGTAGCTATTGGAATAAAACCTGCCAATAGCTAGTCACAAGCATTTAGCATCCCAGAATGTGTTTCAGCTGAGCTAACCTCTGTGCTTGGGCAGCTCTTTGACCCCGGCCACAGCTTAGCATTTAAACTTTCTTGAGCACCAATTTCTGCTTAGCGCTAAACCAGAATGTAAACAGGCCTACCAGTAGTTCTCTTTCTCAGCACAAAGCCTTCTCCATCCTCCTCGTCACTGTCCTCGTCTTTCTTGGCCAGGTCTTGGCCAGTGCTGACCGAGGTGCTCAGAAAACCTTTCAGGGCTCGCACAGCCGTCTTGACCAGCCGGTGGAGCATCTCTAGGATGAGGTAATCTGCCGCCCGCAGAAAACAGGACAGGCGAGCCAGGATGCTACGCCATTCAGCCATGTCAGTGTACGATGGGCCAGTTTCTGGAATAAGAGGTTGGAGGAGAAGGGACATAGTTGTCAACTGTGAAGATTGCTATGTCAACAATGCAAACAAATGATCAAAGGGCCTTTAAAATGTCTCCTTCGTTTTCCTTTTCATATTTTAAAATTTTCATATTGAGACATCGTGGTGCTTCTTTCTATTTTCATAATACAAAGTGAATGTTCACAATGAGGAAAAGTTTGATGCCATATCAGGAAGGAATCTCAATGTTCTATTCAGTACTACAACTTGCCAGAATTTTGTATATTTTAATGCCTTAACTTTGCTTTTATTTGGTGATCACTTGATGATTCAGTCCAGCAGACCCGAGAATAAAGCTCTCTCACAGATATTTTCAATGAAGACATTTTGGATTTCCTCAGAAAACCCACAAAATGAAATGGTACAGGAAAGTGTCCCTGTTTGCCAGGAAAAGTTACAACTTCTTCACTGACTTTGCCGCATCATTCTGTAATACAGCACAGCCAAACAATTAAGTGTTGACAAATCCCACTTACTTTTTTGTTTATCTCCTGTTTTCTTGGCAGCTGCATTGCTCTTGTTTTTAGATGGGTCAACCTTCTTGGTCAGTGGGCCTGAGTTTGGAAGCAGTGTCTGAGTGACACCTTCCATTTCAGCTACTTTCTGCAAGGCAATCGAAAACATTTTAAACTGTGTATAAATTATTGATTACTGAAAAAACTCATGACAAAACAAAGCAAAAATTTCCACAAACTGCTTTCATCCTTTGATAGGATCTGCAACTCTTTATAAATGATCTCATGCTGAAAAAGTGATCTCTGATTTTCTTACTGCCAGGTGAATACTAAAATAAAATATTAACTCAGTCATTGACTTTGGGTTTGTAAAGAGCACAAAAACTGTTCAAGTTGATGCCTAAGATAGTTTGAGGTTTTACTCCAACCGGATTCTTCCTTGAGAAGAACTGCCGGGATTGTAATATCAGACCATGTTTGCATTCATGTTTTTTGGGTCATTCCTGGCGAGAATTTAAGATTATTCCATTCCTTCCATAAAGCCACTTACCGCACAGCACTCAAATGCGAGCCGCACAATCTTATCTCTCATGTGCATAAGTTTGAGCAAGGCCACGTCACACTGTTGGGCCTGGGCCACACAGAACTCCTCCAGCGTCAGCGTGCAGCGGGAATCCAGCTGGAGCAAGGTGACGGCCTTGTCTTCGTCCCCCTCGCCACTAAGACTGCTGCAGGCTGCTTCGCACTGGCTGCGGATGTGCAGCAGGCAACGCTGCAGGATCTCGTTGGCTGTGAAGAGCTGCTGGTGCATCACGGTCCTAGAGAGGTCAGAAAACATGGTGACCCACTGTCCGATACACTTGAACCTGATAAAGGGTTTGCAGTATTGTCATTTCTGAAATGCTAGCAAGCTCTGTGTTGGTGCTTCAAGCTGATTCATAGGTGGTTACAGGAATCACTCTTTTCTGGAGTTCTTTAATTTCATAAATAACAGCTACAGAAGACTTCCTTAATTCCACTGATTTGAAAATTGTGCATTACAACATTTTAAAAAACTTTTTTGGCAGAGTTTGTAACTTGAAAAGAAAAGAATAATTTCTTTGCTAATGTGACCACCTACATGGAACAAATCATACTTTAGTAGAATTGAGGGCCAAACCATGAATAATGCAGTTAATAATAGTGGCATTGATTCAAATTAAACTGACATAGAGACAGAAAAAATCAAAAACAGTTTCTAAAATCTCTCTGTAATTGTACAATTAAATGAAAAATAATGTAATTGTAATAAAATATTTGATGTACTTTATAGAAATGTTGTAATAATATAATTATATTGATGTATGTCTTTAATTTTTATTTTGTAAATTTGAATGTAATTCAGGCCTCTAGGCCATGACGTTTGCAATAAATAAACAGCTCAAAGTGTAAATAATGAAAGAATAAAACACCTCAATTTCAAAAAGAGATAGCAGTAAAGAGGAGTTTGTACGCCTACTATGCTACAAGCCAACAGGTATAAAACCTATCCAAAATGTTGCACCTGCCAACTACGCACTTCTGGGCTCAATGCAAAGCCAACCAAGTAAATAAATGAAAGTATCAGTACTTTTCCAAGGAAGCATTCATTTTTATACTCTTTGGCTGAATATTCCCTACGTAACTTAGAATAGTTTGCTTCAACTCACTTGCTACTGGATTTCTTGAGAGCTCTGACATTGCTCTTCCACATTTTAAAGGCCTTCCAAATCCTAGAAAGAGAGAAGAAGAGTCAGAGTTTACCATCACAAGATCTCAGCTGATGGTTCAAGTCAGGGCTACCAGCACAGATGCGCTATGGGGAAAAATATGCAATCTGTCCGAAAGCTCCAGTTTGGACAAACAAAGAATCACTCCAAGGTTGGGAAAATTCAAGAAGTCAGCACTCCAATTAAAATTGACAGTTTCATCACTGCCAGATTTTCTGCCAATGGGAGGCCAAAACACCCCATCCCAACACCTTACCTGAACTTGACAAAGACGGGTAGATCAAAGATAGCATGGAAAAGTCGCCTTTCATACAACCACTGCATAGTAGGCGTTAACTCTTCATATTCTTCGTCCTCACTCTCTTGAATGCACTGTTAACAGAAATAAATAAATAGAATTAATGTCTAAACACTTCTCTGATAAAATCCTTTTATTACCAGGCAGTTGCATAAATACATGTAAGTCCTTCAGACAGTCAACAGATACACAGATGTATCAAATTACTTCCTACCCGCTTCCTTAATTTCCAGAAAGTATTAATGATAAACATTGTGCATAATGGCTCAATTGGTACGGTATTTTTCTGAAAGAGACCAGAATAGTTTTTATCAGCCGAGGAGATATCACTGGATATTCTGGTGAAAATTCACTAAATTAAAGCCATAAATCAACAAAATGAATTATCTCTTATAACAGGAGTAAAAGGGTTAGGCTTAATGTGAGACCTACAATGTGATCTTTAAAGCCAGCACAGCTACATGTACTGATGAGCCTGCAGCGAGGGCCAAACTGAAATAGGGAAGGGTGCCATTCAAGGCTCAAATTATGAAATACAACCAATACAGTGCAATTCAACAACCAGATTAGAAGCCATTACTGCAGTGGCGCATTGCTCATGGACGGGTGGAACTCGCGTATTACATGCCTCTTTGACCAATTTTGCCCAATGCATGCGCGCATCAAGCTGAAGATTGTACATGTGTGCAGTGCCACTGCTGTTATGGCATCTAACTGGATTAGGCTGTATGCCAAATGGCATGCCTCTAAAACCTTTTCTGATGGAAAAAGGAAGAGGCTAAGGCTGTCACCACACTGTAAGAAAGGTTTAAAGTTCTGCACCAATAATCAGTAGGTAAAAGTATGAACCACTTCAGCAGGAACCAAAAGAAGTCAAGCTACAATTACTCCACACCTACCACGGTGACAGCCGTCGCACTGGCCGTGAAATACATCCTTGAAGTCCTGGCTTCCTGGGGTGATACTACCTGAAGGCTGTAAGGGTTATAGCGCCCCCTAGGGTTGCGACGATCACGGGGGAGAGCGTAAACGAACTCACCAGGATCCTCAGGCCTCCCAAATAAATGCTGCATTTGGAAATGTCATGAAAAAGTAGTCTAAGACACATTGAAGACTTTTTGAAAATCAAACAAAATCCAACCACTAGGTCAAATAATGGCGAAACTTATATTCTGACTTTGTTTGTGTATCCCACAGAGGTTTAGGTTTATTATTATTTTTTTTAGCTATGTGATGTCATCCTTTTCTACTGAGGCTCACTGCAAGCACCACATCATTAGTGAATATTAAACAAGTTTTTATTCAACTACATGTACACATATATCTCTCATTTCCAATCAGACCAGCAAATTAAACACCTATCCTATTCCTGGCAAGGTTATCCAAATTTGCATGAAAATAATTATCAGAAATTTATACTGGTAAAACTCCGACATGTAAAGTTTAATCAGAGCTTTCTAAAATATATGTAGTGATAGTGTTATTCAAAATTAAGACAGAATTTAAACTCAATGCAACCAAGGAATCGATCAGTGACAATTGAACTGGAAAATACTGGCCGAGGATGGTATGAAACACACAGTGATGACTAACTAAACACTTGTGAAAAAGACACTCCATTTCTACAAACTAATGAACAAGATTATGCAATGATAACTACAGTAATACCAGAAAAATCTAACCTAAAATACACAAATGGCAAAATCTTGACAGTTTAAGGACAAAAACAAAGGCAGAAATGTCAGGGAAAGGAGAGAGATGAGGCAAAACAAGAGATTAAAGAAGGGCTGGGAAGCTAAATATCGAACCCAGAAATTCAAGAGAAAAGACCACATAACTTGGGAATTTTCTCATTGGTACATCCCAAAATTTGGGGTTCATTCATCCTCTGAGACCCGTCCTGTTTGAACTGAAAAACCAGGCTTTAAGGCCAGTGCATACTTCAAGCAAATGCAAAAGTGCAGCAAATTCAACATTACAAACACTCGCAAAGAAATTTGATCTGACGCCACAATTTTGCCTTCATATTTACTTTTCTGCCAATTATAAACCTGCCTTTACAAGCCAACTCCAAATCACAACACTTCACTGGATTTTCTTTTAATCCTTTAAACCTCTGACAGATGACACAGGGAGTGACGTACACAAGTCCAAAGACTGCTCCAAGTATAGGACGACTGTGTACTCACACGATATGCAGTAATGGCACAAAAAAGGTGTCGGCTAAAGGCTAAACTACCGGGGGGTCACAGCCTTTTTTCCTGAATAGACAGGGAACAGTCTGTACCCACTACAAACGTCCAGAAAGCAGGGCTACTCAGTGAAAAATTTAAAAAACACCAGTGTGGTGACCACACCTGCATATACCATTCATAATAACGGTCATTCATGCATCAACTACAGAGTGATGACATGTAAATGATCACACTTCAACACGTCAATAAATCAAAACCAGGCAGTGACGTCAATCAAGAAACATCTACGGTGGTTACTCTACCTTTTGCTTGGATTTCAGCTGGGCCTCAATACTATGCTGAATATTGGAAGGAGAAGAATTCATGATGTTCACATGGGAGAAAAAAATCATGGGCCATGTTGATGTCGATGGCCTGTTGACGCAATCTTTCTTGCAATCTCTCATTTACTACATGTATATTGAACAGTTATTTTCATGCTAATGGTTCCTTCTGCACCTGATGATAATAAAGGCTACTAAGATCAGCAATGTGACTGTGCTCCAAGGCCCAGTGTCAAATCGTCAACTAAATAGTCCAACCATCCACTGTTTGGAGAATTATAGTTTACTGTAGCCATGGCTCGACCTTCTTCCAAGTGGGCATTTTAATCACCAGCATTATTTCATCAACAGGCATGACAGGGAGACTTTTTGCAAGGTCAGAGGAATGACATTTTTTGCCTTGAGATTTCAGGCATGCGGCTCAGAGCTGTTTTGGAAGGGTACAATTATTTTACTAGTATGAGAAACCTTATGAGGAGAAAAGTATTTAAAGTCACAGAATCTCACAGAAGTCCCCTATGTGCTACTTATGGACCTGTTTTGGGGTAAGATCCTGAGATTATAAGGAGAGCTTGCTTTGAATTTGGACCATTTGGGGCAACCTGTTTATAAGCCAATGTAAATCATTTGGACACCATTTACCATTTATACCAAATGTGAAAAATCCCATGTTTACTGGTCCCTATACAACCCACTTGGGCACTTGAAATCTTCCAATGCCTCTTTGCTTGTTGTTCACCATACACACATTCATTCCTCCAGTGATTAATCCTACTCTCATACAGGTCCTAATCTTTGGAATAAACTACCTTTCACTATTAATTTCCTGACTTCAATCTCCGAGGTTAAAGTTGCTTTGTGGAATTATTGTTCCGGAATAACAACAGTATTTCTGGGTAACGTTTTTGTTTTATTTGTGATTATATAGCACTCATCTTTGGAGGATATCGGTACATTGTAAATGTCAATTATTACATAATTATTATAATTATTTTCAAAGCCTACCTTGGCTGGTTCAAGGAGCCTGTCTTCAATGCCAATCATTTCTTCCTTGACTGTGGGCCCATGTCTTGGTAGATCAACCACTAACTCCATGGCATTTCTCATTCTGCGCAGGTGATACGTCAAGCTGTCTATTTCTGGTGCTGGGATCAGTTAAAACAAAGAAGACATACTGATATTATCAGACCCATCTAGTGGCTGAATTTGCTAACAATATCTACACATTTATGCACAAAATGCACATGTTCTCATATAATTAAGAAGTTCTGGAAATACCTGGCTTGTTTAGGCTAATAACTGTTGTGAAAAAATCCCCCGATTTCTACTGGCACGAAAATAGTCTAGAAAAAAATGTCAAAGTCTTACCAAATTGGAACTGACAAATTCATGATTGTAGACTAGAGGTTTAATTTGAACCATGTACTGATAACTTTAAAAAGACAGCATTTGTGGCATTATAATTAATACAAGTTCGTTACTAAAAGGAAAGGATGCTTACGAGTATCATCAAATTTGTTTGTCTTCAAGTACATGAACACCAGCTTGGGGTCTTGCTTTCTGGAACCGGATGGGGAAGAAGGAGGGGAGGGTGGATCGCCTGTGTCAGAGGTCACTGAGGGGTCAGGGGTGAACTCTTTCTTTGTAAGCTGCATCAGAGGGGAGGTAGGGGCGACGGACATTCCAGTAGCAACTGGGTGTTTGTCCGTAAGTGAGTGCTGGGCTGTTGGCTTGTGCACATCAAGGAACTGTATCTCGTCTGGCGTGGCTTGTCCTGTTGTACTTTTTGGTTCTGTATCCCGTGAAGCTGCAGGTTCACTTCCACTGAGACCGACAAATGACAAAAAACTTGTCAGCCTTGTGCATTTTAGTAGCCAGGATCATCCTAACCCAATAACATAAAAGTAAAGTTGAACTTTTCAAAGATTTCCTTTAAGCAATTTAACATCAGAGGCCATGAACTGATTAAAACCCTAACAACAGACTCATACAATAATCCCATCACACTTTGTTTAAATGCACGCTTTCTGAGGGCAGTGAGGTAGGACTGGATCCATCAAGCCCCCACAGGGAAAGCATGCACATAAACAAGACGTGACGTCTCCATTATGTTTTAGGTCTACTCTCACAGTCTGTCTTGCTTCTGCTGCTTAGTCTCTTCCTCCAGCAGGGACGACTTGCTGCCTTGTCTCTTCATACGGATCCTGGCATGATCTCGCTTGAAGAGGGTGGTGCGCAGGGCTCCCCCGGGGGCGGGGACTCTGGAGGGTGGAGGGCGTGGTACCACAGGCACATTTGATGTTCCCTGAAAGGTAAACAAAGGTAGGCCCAGACTGTATAGCATTACTGGGTGAGGTCGGTCCATGTTGGTAACATAGCGACAGTTTATATTACGCACAGATCTTAAGCTATAGCCCAACAAATTCTCTAAACTAGTTTGGGCATGGTTTCTGTTACATATTGCAAGCTAACAGAAAATCACAACATTTCTAACACGTGTCAAAAGTCTGTTCATTCTCCAGAAATTATTTTTCCTTCTTTCAGCTGGTTTCAGAAAGCTTGACTATGGGCAGCAGAAATATAGTTACATATGCTGTGCCACTTTTATGATCCAATGACCTCAGTGGGACAGAATGTGTCGAGGTTTAATGTTAAAAGAAATCTCTACTCTACTACGGAAGTTAAGTGGGCTAAATTGAATATAGCCACTCCAGTGACTAGTTGTCAATTTGCTTTTAGAAGAAACTGGTTGACTAACAATGACTCCATTTTGAATCTTCTTGCTCTGCATCCCAGCAGGACGAATAGTCTGATACACCTGCGCATCCTGTGGTCGATCATAAAGCCTGGCTTTCAGGTCAAGGCCCCGCCTCTGGGCAGCCTTGGTGGCCTGGAAATACTGCGGCGTGCCAGCAAACGTGACCGTCTTGGCTGCCCCATTCTGTCTGGAAGGCGGCTCCTCATCAGGGCCGGGCAGTAAGTGGACCGGAGGGGAAGCGCTCTCCAGAAACGCAGCCGAGATGGCGTCAAACGGAGTGGTCTGTAGAGTGGCTGGGGCACTTTGCGCTGGCCTGGACCCGGTGTTTGGAGTGACAAACAGCTCGCTGACATTTTGTGGAGAGATGTCATTGTAGCCCAGGTCGACATTTGGTTCTGGTGATCTCCCTACTCCAGACTCTGATGTCAGTTCTGACTCAGAGTAATGTGGCGTATCCATGGTTTACTACTGCTTGGTCAACCTGTAAGCAAGGAATAAAATAAAATTTGCTTAACTGCTGTTTCCAGATTATTCTGCAACTTTGTGGCATGGGTCATGTCAATTCTCCAAAGTCAACATTTAACGTAGATCACCATTGTTACCTCTTTTTCTAAGAAATCACTCCTCTTTCTTTCAATTCCTTTCAGTCTAGTTCTACTCCCCGATGAAATTTCCCTTGTTGCAATTCATAGCTTTAGAGGACCTTATTACTCCGTTAGATGGACCGATAGTGCAAGAAACAGTTCCTGACGACTGATGCATGCTTGGTTGCTACTGGTTCCAATGTCTCCCCAAATCAAGGAAGATACATACATGGCAGACCAATTAGCTTCTTTCATTTTTCATACCAAGAGGGTTTTACATTTATGGATCCGATAGGCTTCAGGGATTTTAAATATATGAACTTGGGGGGAAATATCAACCATCATGGCCATTCAAAGGAAAATTGCATTTCTTTCGTATAAAAATTCACATCTGAAAAAATGAATGTCCTAGGTCTAGCCTAGGACAACATTCCTTTTATTTGGGAAAAGAAAAAGTGGGGACTAAACCCATCTTTTAGTCTTACAACTACAGTTGATTGTCCAGTTCTGCAATTTACAAAAAACAAAAACAGGCTTTATTTTCAGTAAGACAAATTGCTGGGGACTCAATCCACACTTCTCTGAAACAGAAAAATTTTTTTTGTTAGAACCATCGCTGTAAATTAAGATTGGCAACGATTGTTTTTTGCCAATTGCGGTTCACAACAACAATGCGTGTGCATTCTGCGTGATGTTGCGTTTGTCTCTCTTTTAAATGATCACGGCAGTGATTTTTCCAAACCAAATCCGTTCTGCTATTATCAGCAATCTCACCGTGAAAATATGATTTCTTTATCTTTTTCGAATGTATATGTTTTGGATATAAAAGTGACTGCAAGATTCTTTGCCATTTCTGCAAATGAGTTTGAGATTACGTTACAATGCGTGCTTTCAGTGTGCTTGTGGCACATGTATGTGTCAGAAAAACAAGACATACCGTACAGATGTCGTGGTTTGTGGAACCGGCAAATGTTTGCGGAACAGGCCAAACTACCGACCATGCTGACCACCAAAAAAGCTCGCTAGCATTTGTCTTTCAAATGACTACTCGAAATTGTGAAGTATCACATTATTATTGGCCTACAGTGTATGCATGATATGTAGGCCTATGTACATATTTTCCGGATATTTCTGGATGAGAAAGCCTTTCCATGAAAGTAATTTTTTGAGGCGCCAGGGACCTTGGGTTGTTTCTGTTTGCAGAATCGGTTAATCAATGCCCCATTTCCACATCGTCCCTAACCACTTCGCCCCAGACTCCACTTTGCCCCATCTCCACTTCGCCCCATTTATCCCCACTTCGCCCCATTTCCACTTTGCGCTGTCCAAACTCCTTGTTACAAACAGCTTCAAAAATGGTCGAGAGAGGAGTTCCTCAAACGGCATCATGATGGAGTTATACACGTACATGTACAGTGTATATAGAAAACTCTACGGCATTAACTTAATTAATACCACATGTGGAAACATGCTCGCTTCAAGTACGAGCAAAACAACCTAAAAGTAATACATACATAGACAAGATACTAAATTCTGTGAATTAACTTTAAGAAATCTTGCAACATCGATTTTTTTTCGATGCATGAGGTCACCTACATGTACGGTCGCCACGGCATGAATAGACTGGTTGCCATACTCCATCACGCATTTTCTTACATGGCTGTGGCGCAGCCGGAACCAGCGATTTGCGCACTTGCTTTTACCACAGCGACAGCGAAACATGAAGAGAACTCGTGAAATAGCAGAAGTTGCTTTTCAAATGTTGCAAATGTAACTGGGAAAACATGTAGGGTCTCACCAAAAAATTAGGGCTGGTCAGGAAATCGAAAGCATTGTTTTGGCCTTTGCAAGTTGGATTCTCCCACCGTTATTTGGTTGCTCAAATGGCGATGTTTTCATTTGTTCCATCTGGGCCTATAGCTCCATGTATAGGCCTATCTCTGTTACTAAAGAACAGAATGAACAATAATCGTTGGGGCAAAGTGGAAAATGGGGCGAAATAGAAATGGTGTGAAGTGGAAATGGGGCGAATTGTGGATGGGGCGAAGTGGAAATGGGGCAAAGTGACCGACACCTAATGATCCGAATCCTAAGCAGATAGGCCTAAATGATCAACTGAAGATAATCATGGTGGGTTTAACATTGGTCTAAACACCAGAAAATGGGTCATGAAAATTACAGGCATGACAGACATAGCCTAGGCCTTGTCTAAATTCTTCAAGCATGTTCTTGGGTCCAAATGTACATGATTTGACAGTGGGCAACTCTGCCCGTTGCACTCAGCCATAAACTCTGGTGGTGGTATGGCCTACGCGACTGGTAGACTTCATGCCCGGCAGGTTTTACGAGGCGTGACGGTCAGGCCTCATGGAAAAAGGGAAAGCTTCAAGATAAACGTGTTGTAAAATACAGGCGATGTACCTTGGCAAATGCTACGCATCTTTAAAGTTTGATATGCGCGAAAGGATGACCTGCATATCCATACGCTACACCTCTAACCCAGAAGAAATCATGCATCTTCTTGGCCACACACCGAAGTTTCAACCCAGAATGTTTAGACCGCCATATTCTTTTCTCATGACAACTGCTTTTAACCAGCATGCTTTGCGAAGCCAATCAATCGTGCGAATACCAACTCAAAATTTGTTTCCTACGAAATATACTAAGAAATGTGTTTCCTACGCATACATTGGCACACCGGCAACCTTTGAGGCAAAACTTTACAAAAGTAAAAAATAATCGAATTTCTCAAAGTCCTTAAGATCACCAGGTTAATCTGTAATTCTACACCCAGCATTTAAACCAAATCCTTACAAGGGGAGAGAGCTTCCCTGCACAAAAGCATCTTAAAATCCTTTTTTTCTCCCTCCCTGTTTTGAAGATCCTCATTGTTGTGGTTCCTATGTTTATCATGAAAGGCTGCCCGATATTCAGTTAGCAGTACGTTTAAGTTGGAATTACATATAGAATCAGTCCATGTGTGTGTGTATATAAGGGCTTGGGGGGGGGGTAGCACATACAGTACATTTACATGTACATTTATCATTCAAAAATAGTTTTCATCCCCAGGTAGACTGGAAAGTAATCTGATCCCCTTTTTTCACCGTTTCTTTTTTCAAGTGAGCATGGATTATAAAAGTTCTAGTGGTTGCCATGTTGCTATGGACATGTACATTCCACGGCTAGCAAAAGTAATGGGACAAGAAGCAATGAGGCTTCGCTTGTGCCCTGTGCAGCACTTTATTTCTTTCACCATGAGATTTAAATATGTCATATAAAATTTCATATATACAACACCAACAACACTGTACAGCAATTTCACATAGTGTGAGTTCCAAAAATCAATGGACCCCACGTGATTACATCAGAAGTTGTGGATGGACTGTTGCCATGGAAAAGATGAAACACCCATAGTCTACTGCAAGTGAAATAAATGCACAAAAATACAAGAGAATAGAAATCATTTAAATACAAGTCCTAATAATAAAAGTTAAATACTGGCCTGCCAATCAGAGATGATACTAGTCAAGAATTCTAATCATTTTTTGTGTCTCTAATTTGCATTACTGATAAATGGCTAAGGCAGGTAAGGTGATAATTATCACATCACAGACAGGGACAATATACACCAACACTGTGAGAAAGTGGACAAAAAGGGCTTCCAAAGTATACAGCTATCGAAACATCCTTAGTACACCTCAGTGAAGTCTACAAGGTTGAGCACAGATATTAAATTTTTTTGGTTTGTTTTCTTTCTTTTAAAGAGCTGCAATCCTGGCATCCCAGGTAATCACGAGTTAATCACTAGTCAGTCACAAGTTCTCCAGTACTTTACCAGAGCTGCAATCCTGCCATCCCAGGTAATCAGGAGTCAATCACTAGTCAGTCACAAGTCCTCCAGTACTTTAACAGGAGCATACTTTTAAATCCTTTGGCAATGTCAATCCGCTGTAACTAAGGAATTGTCTTGTAACCAATTTAACGACAAGCTACCACATTCTGGTAAAAGCAAACTCTGGTAGTATCTAATAGAAAAAGTTCAATTTGTTACAAAGGGGGTCAAGGGTGAAGCAGCCACAGGTATCCATGGACGGACCACAAAAATGAACAGAAGCCTCTTGGCAGATATAATTACTCTCTTCACCTTTCAAATCTGTGCCGAGTTGCTCAGGTTTTCCTTGGACTTAAATCATATTTCTTGCCAGTCTTTCTAGAGCTAGCAAGCAAGGTGATTGGCAGAATCCTTGGATTTGTGATCAGAAAAAAATTGGGTTTACATCACAGAAATCAGTAGCTACTACGTATCCTGAAAATCAACCAAAACAAACAAAAACCATCCCTATCTCATCGTTTAATCTCCAAAAACATGGGGTTATTTCACTTACAATGCTGAGGCGCCAGAGTCAATCATTTTGAAGACATTTTTAATACTTACTGCAAAAACACAAATCTAAATTCAATATCAAAAATACAGCAGATTTTCGATTTATACAATATCTCCCACCATTTCTTTTAGACAGGGAAGGTTTAAAGTAAGCAACAATGCATGACAAATAATTGTTACAAGACAACAATATATTACTAATGAAGTTTAATTATTTCTATATTTTGTGTGATTTCAAAATGTAGATTTTTAAACGCTCATTTTACAGAGAAATTTCATAAACAGTCGGAGAACAAGAGTAAGGATGTAACTTTCTAATCACACCAAAGACAGGTGCAGCGTCTACATATTGGTATACACAAAGATGCAGTCCATGCATCTCTGATGTTCAATGATGGTCAGAACTAGATCACTTTGGTAACATGCAACAATGGTTTGAAAAGGAAAAACTTCAATCACTAACCATTCATCAACCACAGGTGGATTGACCTAATACACTGGATACATTTAGTGCTTCCATGTAGGTTATTATTACCAGTAAAAAATGGACCAGTGACGGACAAATTGTAGCTGACTGAACACAGACAAGGCAAGTTGGTCTGGTATTACACAAAAGGCCCTATTTGCGAGACGGCCATTTTGGACTGTGCTCCATGAATCTGCTTTATTCAATGAACACTGAAATGAGAGAGCCTGACTATTTGGTGACAATTATGGGTAGAGCCCACGGACATATAAAAAACCTGGACTTCCAACGCCTTTGTATGAAAAAGAAGCCAACCAGCGACCATTTTACCGAGCTGAATACAAATGCGTGGGTTCGCTCCCTTTTATTGATGTCAGGAAGAACAAAGGCGGGCATTGCCAGGAAAGTTTTGTATTCGGCTCAGTAAAATGGCCGCGAGTGGATTCAATGATCTGTATAAGCTGATTAAGGGCATTGTGAGTCCAGATTTTATTATACACGTCCGTGGTAGAGCCTCACTTTGAAAAAAAAATTTTCCTCTTGGCCAATGAACAAAAATGCCATGATTTTTTCTCCACATTTTGGGACTATCCATCAGAGCACAAGGATGGTAATCTAGAATATACCACCTAATCGTATCACCTTCATCCTCACACATATTAAGTTTTGAGGCATTTTTCACAGCAATCACCTCATTTGCAATTCAAGATGTCTGACATTAGAATAAGGCCAAGTGGGTTCTTGGGCCAAACTGCCCATCTGGTGCTAGCCCATGACAATTTGAATACACCACAATACAGTCCCCAATATTTCTCACAGTGCAAATTTCTCTACCACATTTTGTTAAAAAAAACGAGGTGGAGACCAGACCCGTGTATAGAGAGTTGCGACATGCATGTCACCACTGTTGGAAACAAACTGGCAGGTGTTTGCACCAGTGCACACAGACAATAGCCTCACGCTCTGCAGCACACACAATGAACAGTTATTTTGATTCCAATATCTGAAGCCAGCACTACTGTCTCTATACCTGTATACAGCACTGGCGGTGACTGCTGAAAGTCACGTTATTACTCATCACAAGTGCAATGCTGGGCATGCTTCAGCAGCGGCAGAAACCATTGGTATTAATTACCTGTCGATACAAAGGCTGAGTTCGGGCGGCTTGTTCTCATATGTTCACGAACAGCTTGATTTGTTGTTCGTGGGTCGGCTGCTTGAACACCAGGAACAAACCAACGGTTATTGCTGGTAGTGCATGTATTGGCAAGCAACATGGCGGCGGCCATGTACGTTATTCAAGAATTAACGTTTGGATGGGCTGAATTCTTCTTTATTTAAACAGGCACATTAATTTCTGTGTTATGGAAAATAATTAATGTTAATTTTGCAAAAATGGGTTGGGTTTGGGTTTGGAAGCCATCTCTCTACTTTTTGCGGCTGTTCAAAAATCAAAATCTCACGAGTTTTTCCGTGTGTTCCTGTAAAACCCTGACAAGGAGGTGGTGTGTGATCCTGTTCCGAGAACAGTGTTCTTGAGTCGTGTTCCCGCCGTTCGGGCGCGAGAACAAGAAACCCACGTCAAGAACAGGCCGCCCAAACTCGACCAAAGAGTCACGGAGTAGAATAAGAGTTTTTACTGGTTGAAGTACACTTTCCGAGACAAACAGACAATAGGTGGTAACTATTAGTTGCTGCAGGTATACAAGCATGAACATCTTTTATGAGTTGTGAATGTACTTGGCTATGGAACTGCATTTTGGATTTTCTTACTAGTTACCCTGCTCGTTATCTTTACAATACGACAGTTGTGGTTGAGTTCATCTCAAATCCCTCCATAAGACCAGTCATAAATAAGTGACAGGGTGAACGACAATGGAATGATTTTGTCACAGCTCATTTGAGTGGATTGTGACTTGGATGGACTTGTGATGGACTCGAGGAGAATACTGCAATAGGAACAAAGTCTCAGAACAAAAATCTTTCTGTGCCTGTCAACAACTTTCCTTGCGAAAAACTTTGTTTGCATGTCAATGCTCCCAGCTTTAAATCTGTTCCCAGTGGAACCAGGAAGTCTTTCGTCAGCTCAAAGTGAGTCATTCTCACCTCGAGAGTACGTCCAACATTTTCAGACTTCCCAGCCTAAACATCACTTGCTTCCTTTTTCAGCAAGCAGTGTTTCCGGTGGAATGTTACAAGCTTTTGTCAGACAACAATACTGATGTTAACCCCAATTTTGTTGCAAACACACGCTGAATTGCAACCCAGCTGGCGTCTCCTTCAATGATTACTTTCACATTTAGCACACAGTTGAGCTATACACACAGTGTCCACGTACTCTTTCGTCTTGATGACTGTAACTTAGGCTGCATCCGAATCTCTTGTCTAGAGCTACATGTAGGTCTAGGTCTTCGCTCCATTGGAAAAGTGTGGAGACGTGCAGACAATAGACCTAGCCGTAGCTCTGGAAGCCCGTTTCGGACATGACCTTACACTGGATTTCTCTTCACTTCATCTTAGCCCTACTACTGCATTGGTCTCCCCAGCTCCTTAAGAACCAACCCCCGTAGAAGAGAGGCCATCCAAACAGCTGAAAGATCCCCAAGTGAGCAACATGAGCATATGGGGTTGTTACAATCACAACCAACTCCTGATACTCAGTGTCTTTATGCAGACTACGGTATTTCATTCCCCTAGTCACTGCTAGTGCACAGAATGTAGCACGTCTACTCCTAGATGACGTCACTCCTCACTAACACTAAAAAAGCACTCCGTGTATACGTGCATGGGAATGAAAAGGTAATCGTGAAATTTTTAGACAGACACAAGAAACACTCTTTACATAAACCTCCCCAAACTTTGGTAGAAATGTTTTCATTGTACGTGAATTTCAAAATTCTTTGATTGCAATAAGTCACTTGGTAAAAAGGAGCCAAGGATTCCCAAGCTGATGTGTGTTCCAACAATATTCTCTTTTGATAAAAAAAAACAAGTTTCACACTGTGGTGCAAACTTTCTGACAGATATATGTAGTTTTTTTTACAATCTTTGCAAGGTTGGCTCTGAGCATAAAAAACTCCTATGCCTAATCAAATTTGAGCCAGTTCAGTATTTCAACAGCACATGCTTCAATGGAAGCTTATGGTAGGTCATTCAAGACCATCAAATTCACAAGTGCCAGGCTGGCCAAATTGGCATGCCGCCTCGCATGAACTGAACATGTTCAACTGGCCTGATGTCACCTGCTTTGTTTTCAAATGACCTGGCCTTTTTGATACACTGTACTGGCTCATTGAGGCAGGACTGTCCCCTAATCTATGACGATCTAACACTTTGCAGTGATGCAGCACGTCATTCTGCAAACTCTACGCCAAGCCCAATGGGCATAATAGTGACCGGGCAGTAACAGTGACCGGGCAGTAATGGTGACCAGGCTCTACAGTACCATCTCCATCCAAGCCAAGCGAGGACAGGCACTGGATCTTCAATAAACATCTATGGTGCAGTTGCTGAATTACTGTGGTGTGTTCAATAGTTTGCCGCCTTGGCAGCCAAATACTGCTACCTCAAATCCCACACATCATCCATGTTGTCTATGATGCTGTGTAGACCATCCAATGACTGGATGAATTCAGTGTAGAATGCCAGGTCTGATGTCACTAACCTGGAGACAAACATACAAATTAAATAATGAACAAAAATGTGATGTCCTAAATAACTCCTTGACAGCAGCATTAAAGACTAAGCCAATAGTCAACATTAATCCTGATTTTAATGACTGAGATTCTTATCTACTGTTTGATTCTACATTTACAATTTAACTCTCTAATCCTCTCAGGAGTAAAAAAAATTTGGAAACGGAGAAGCGTCAAGTTCAAGCAACTTTTTACCAGAGTAACATCCGATAAAATAAATTCAGGAGGAAACACTTTAATTCAACCAATGTAAGCAGGGATTTAGCCTTCCCCAACATTTGTTTCCTAAGTCTTTGGAAGTACTGCCAACAAATGTCAGCTTCATTCAAGGCAATATCCTACAAAACCTCCATCTTGAAATCTCACCCGTGTTTGGGACCCCCGTCGTTTTTGACCTTGACCCGGATGAGAGCGTCTCTAAGGTGAGTCTTGAAGGACACATTGAGCCTCATGAAGAGCACCTTGATCTGCTCGGGGGGCAGCAGCTCTGCAATGGCCTCGTGGAGCTTCCGTACCCTCTTGCAGACTTCTCGGAAGCAGGAGGAGGGAACAGGGGCTTTCACCTCCCACTGGAGCGGGAAGTAAAAGGTAAGTCCAGAATTCACATTTCCCTTACGATTTTGATCATCGCCTGTACCCTGTTTTTGTGAAACATTCCCCTAGCCACATCTACACTAAGGGCCTCATACATTTAGTACCACTAAAAAACTGTTCATCTGGAAATCTGCGCATACTGTAAGATGTTACAGGACACAGTGGAGTCACTGTAAAGTGCAATTTTGACTCCATGATATTCAAACTCGTTGGTTCTATGGAATAGGAGTCAAAATTGAAAGTGCTCAATCAGTTGGTACTTTAATCATCACTTAAACACCACCCATATGACAGGCTTGTAAACAAATTGGAGCGGGGAAACTGTCAGATGTGTTTATGAATGTACATTAAACAACCAATGACTTCAGGGCAAGGTGAAGCTTGGGAAATTTACAGACTAAAATGTCTGTAAGATTTGTACGCTTTTCATTGGGGAGAAATAGAGCACAGAAGACTCGTTGTACCACCTTCCAAATGCAAGTTTTTGTCATAGATATTTCATATTTATAGGCCCATTATGAGATGAAAGCCTTTTGTGTGATTACTTCCTGACACCTACGAAAAGCTAATAAAAACTGTTTAATCACGGAAAACATAACATTTATGTATTCATTTCACCAGTTCCAGAGTATTACAATTCCACATACCGTTGATAAAAGCTGACGGAAGGAATCGTCCATGATGTTGACCAATTTGTTAGATATTTCTTGCACATGGTCATTGTAATCCTAAATGTGAGAGGAAGCCAGCAGAATCTCTTTACAAAATATAAATTCCATTAAAGACTGGGTGATAACCATTTTAAGTGAAGGTAAATCGTATCTTGGTCCACTTAATAGGATTTGTAATACAACCGTACCTTGAGAATCTTGTCCAAGTTCTTAAGTAGACCCTGCATTTTAGGAGGTAACCGCTGGGTGAAGAACTCCTTAACGATGGGAATAAATAGGGTGACCAGCTGAAGACAGCGAGATGTCAGAGCTATAAAGGGAGACACAAATTGTCCCCACCCCCCCCAAAAAAATCAAAATGAATTCAAAGACTGCAACAGATACGGTCAAAGTCAACAGTTAAAAAAGGTTACGAACACACGAAACCAGTTCTCAAAGAATAAATCACAGAAACGCTCCTGAAATAAGACCACAATAAGCTTTATTTATTTGAAACTACCCTGTTATTTTAAGTTAGTTTCTTAATTTTCAATTCTAAGGTCCCATTTCTTCCAAAAAATTAAAATAAATATCAATAAGGTGTATTAAAATATGACACTACATGTACATACATGTACTTGTATTGCTAGATATGTCAGTTTCCAATATGTGTATCATATAGACCAAACCCATGCTCCCTGTATACTGGGCAACTTCAAATACAAAAAATATACTAATTGCAGATGTAGAAATTTGAGCAAAACCACCAGTGATAGGGCCAACCCCACATCTTGTAGTCATTTGTCCGGTATTTGACAAGTTGTTAGACAAATCTACTCATGACTTGCAATGTTGGTAACTGTAGATGGTGACTGACCTAGATTCTTGGTGGTGATAGTCTTGAGTCCAACGACTTGCAAGGCCCCAGCACCCAGGATGAGCTGACAGGACCTGGAGTTGAACATCTGAAGATTGGACAAGAAGTATGAGGGATCAGTGGATCCATACCAATGAAGATGAACCCAAATGAGTGATTTCCAGAGTACCATGTTGGTGTTAGATATGAACTGGTTTTGCAATGCTGCCGTCGTTTTGAAAGACTGTTCTTATTTTAAATACACCCGAACACATGCCTGTCATCTGACTGGTGGGTCGTTGATCGCATTTCACTGACTTATCCAGTGTATTCAATGGTGTGACCATCACATAAAAATTACTGATGAATTACAGCCATACGCTAGGCACAGTAACAGCCCTTCAGAATCAATGAAACAGCACATTAACAGCTCACAGGCAAAGAACACTGTACCCCACGCGTGCGCAGAGAAAGCGTAGTCACAGCTCTTCACAAAAACAGGCACAATGTTCGCAGCGGCTCAGAGTTAGACAGGAGCCCTGTGGTGAAGGGATCTTAACTTCAAATCACTGAGTTCCAAACTTCTGTGAGGAGGCATGTTTTACCTGTAGAATCTCCACCAGTCGGGTGAGAATGTCGGAAGTGACCGACGGAATGTCAATAGCACACTGGCAATATTCGGCTACCATCTTCAGCAATAGTAGTACAGTCCTGTAAAGTTGTGAGGAAAAAGCCAGAGCAACGATGACCTCATTTGTCTACTTGTCAGAGATAGTAACTTCAGGCAATCTCCTGTGGTTACGAAAACTCGGGAAGGATGCTCGTTTTCTCCCAACAGGATAACTTCTTCACCCTGGATGTTTGACCATGATTTCGTGAATTGCTCCTCTTCATTTTGCCACAACAACCCTGACCCCAAAATGCCCCCGATGCTGTATTTTAGATAGGCAAAACACAGTGTGGATATCTGTGAGTCCACACGTCTTCTAACCCTAAGTTATGTGGACTTCTGTAGTGTGGAGGTCCACACTGTGTATGCCATGCTTCCATGCATATGAAACCACTGGGTTCATATGAAACAAAATAAGCGTTTCAAAAGTAAATTGGCACAAACAAGCCAAAGAGGGAACCACAACGGTTCTTCAGTTTTTGTTACACGTTTTCAGTTTTCACATAAGCAGAAGATCACACACAAGGACTTATCTTTTCACAAATGAGAAATCTTCCTAGATTTCAATGGGTTATAAAATTGTTTCCCTACTTACCCTACAACAGAGTATCTTTGGTTTGCAATCTCTACATGTTCCAGCGGCTTTCTCTCTCCACTTCCTGTATCAGCTTTGACAAGAAGTGTCAGAGAAATTTCTCCTGAAAGAAAGTTGGATAGTAAGTTTTGTTTAACTGTCCATGTCATCCACATCTCAAGGATCTTATGAATTATAATGGTATTTTGATAATAATTATTTGGGGCAATTAAACATACAAGAAGACAATCACAAGACACAGCGGGCCGCCCAGGAGAACATAAAAGTTTGAAGTAAAGTGTCGTCAAAAGGCGTATGTCTCCCAAGACCCAAATAGAAAAGTAAGGCAAGAAAGAGCGCAACAAAAAATTATTAGATAAAAATACGGCAATGGGTTTAAAAAAGAGCCTAGCCAGCAAAGTGGTCCTTCAGCTCACTCAAAAACTGACAGAGAGGGGAGCATATCAGATTATTAGCCAAGTCACTAGGCAAGGTGCTCCAAATACGTGCAAGGGATGGAGATTTTAAATACGTGATAGATTCAATGGTGAAAATGGTAATACATCCACTGCTGGGTGATTTCTACAAAAAGTAAACAATCACAGTCCATACAACCCTGCTAGATATTTCATCCGTTCTGCAAATGAACAGTGATTCACTTCATTCTAACAACATACACTGAGGATTTCATGCAATTTCTTGTTGCTGTAAAAATCTATTATAAACACACTGCATTTTTTTTTAAACATTTGTCATTTCCTGGGCATTAACCACTTCCTGCCAGGGACACCGGATCCCGACACATATGCTTTATATGCGTGGCCGGGGTCTCCGAACTCGGACAAAGGGAACAGGGACCTACCTTTGGCCATTGCACTCAGCAAGTCTTGGAACTCTGCAGGCACCTCAGCTTGTTTCCAACGCTCACTGTCCAAGATCAAGCTAGATGAAAAAAAGGAAATAATTCAGTAAACCATCATCTTGAATTCTGGCAGGAAGACATAATGAGTTGTCACAATTTTCTTTCACAAGCTTCCCTGCAGCACATCATGTGACCAAAATCCTTTATCAATGGTAAGGGTTAAGCATTAAAAATACACAAAGGGGCTTTTATGTTACAAACCGACATTATAGAGGAAAGAAAGATGACAGAAGCTCCTAAACAAATTTTGAATTAAGAAATTGAACAAGAATTATTCTTATTACTTTTACTTGACTTTTATTATGTCTATGGAACTTCAAATCATTAATTGTTAAGTAAAAAATACAACCCAACTCTACTGAAACACTTCTACTTCTTGGCATATTTCAGGAACGTAAAACGAAAAGACTTAATATATTCGACATATCGAGTTGGCTTGGCAGAATCTGAAGCAAACTGAACTGTTTTTGAAAAAAAAAACGGCTTCATGATATCACATGTAGGAAGGCAAAAAATACACAAATCAGAGGGGATTTTGGCAAATACCTTAATTTGGTTTTCCTTTCTTCATGGAATCGATTGATGAACTTATTCGCCTGTAACACGCAACCACACAGCATAAGACACAACATTAATGTAACAATGTAAGAAGAAAATTGATGCCGATGCTATGTGTAAACCATAAAAACTCAGGTAAAGTCTCATGTTGACAACCTCAAACTCTGTGATGGCCTTGTATCTTTTCGCCAACTGCACTTAACTACTGTGAAAAACAAATGACATTTTGGGAAGCTTTTTGGGGGGTTTTATTTTGTTTCCAATAGTTGATCCAGTCCCGCCACCATTACTGGGGGCCTTATGAGTATACGATGCTCTCATTCTCAGACTCGTCAACGGAAGATGTACTTTTGAAGTGCTTAAGGCCAACACTTACCAGCACACACATGTAAACCAAAATGACGGTATCATAAAAATACTTTTACACTAGATATTGAATACGATAAAACAGAGGGATTACTGATTGACCCCTGACCTGATTCTGAAGGCCCCCTCTCAGTGATGTGCTCCTCCGTTCACAGATGCTTTCACACTTCCTAACAAACTTCTCTATTGCACGTGACAGAGACACAAATTCACCTGAACTCAGGCGCTCTAGGAATCCATCCTATGGGGGCAAAATAAGGATGATTTCAAGCCAATATTTGGAATTATTCTTTAACTTTTTTCCCCTAAATATTCGAAAGTTAACCTTCAGGATACATTTGTTTATTTTGTGCAAAAATCTCTTTACAAATAACCAACTAATAAAATGCAAAATTAAGTCCACTCTTTCCCTTCAAAATGCATGATCTTGAAGATGCAGTGTGTGCTTTACATATCTGTTATCTGCTGATCCACATTTGAAGTACAACCAACACTCTGAAATGAAGTTGATTAATTTTAAATTTCAGATATATGAAGACTCTTCATGAACACATCTACAGTTCATAAAGACAGTATTAAAGCTTGCATGAAAACCTTGACTTATCATATCAATAGTGTTGTTTAAGACAAAAGAATTTAACTAAAATCATTTGTAATTGTTGCGCACTGAGCAAAACTCATTGGTAAACCTGGAAAAGTAACACCCACTGAGCCAAATTTTAGCCAGTAGCCCTCTCAAGTAATGGTTTCTTTTTTTTACCTTGCCTCGGGCTATGAGAAGCTTCAGACATCGGTCATGGGCGTAGTCACACACAAACAGCAAGAGATCCTGGACAGACTGCATTAGTCTACTGTGCTCTATGGGGGCTATCAACACATCGACATCACTGGCACTATGAGGCAGGAATAGGATACAGATGACAGTGGCAACAAAATCATTTTGTGATTTCTCTGAGGTAATGATAAAATATCAGACAGAGATTGTTGTTTTTATTTACACTTGATCCAATGATGTAACAAAATCAGAGAGTGGTTAGAAAAAGATGTATAATGTTGCATTTAGTAACCAACACAGGTGCAAGGGTGTATCAACAGTGTACTGAGGCTGGTGGTTAGCTAATACACTGAATACAATGCACAATGCCATGAATGATCATGTGACTGTGTGATAAAAAAGAATATTACCCTCATCTTTGTGCATATCACATCACAGACTAATCCCCACCTAACAGTCCAAAATATAATGTGAAATCTAATGGGAGCAGTGAACAGGCACATGTTACAATCCGATGTTACACTGTGTAATTTTTTGGTCAGTGGCTAAAGTTTGTTTGAAGTTAGTTTCTTCATAAAAGTTCAATTAAGCAATGTTGGCTGAGCTTAAAGAAAAATGCAGAGTCCCCTATCAAAATGGCTTTTAAGACAAAAAGATACTGCATTTGAGCCAGTCATGTGTGACTAACACATTTCTATCCATATGGTTATTAACCCAGTCCATGCACATCGTACAAACTATCTGTGCAGCAACGGACTGAGACACTTGTTTCAATGAGATTCAAGACACTTCAGGTCTAAAGTCTAAACAAACTGGCATATCTTACAGCTTTTCTGCGGGTGTTGATGCAACCTCGTCAAACTTGCTAGGCTGAGGCTGAGGTTCGATATCTTGGTCCCCGTTGTCCAATGCAGTGGCTTCATCGGCGCATTCTACCAGTCCATTCTGGTCTGGACCAGTTACCACCGGTTCGGCTGGTGAATCGGGGTCATATCCTGCAGCAAGATTTACCAGTCGCTTAATGATGTTCGTCGTTTCCTATGAAGTGGAGACAAACAGAACTTGTAGATAACTCAGTCACTTTAACTTAATAAGGATTTCAATGCTTTAATTCTTTTCAGGGGCAAAACAATGTGCCACAGATTTTTTGCACTGCACTAGCTTTTACAGGCTCACGAAGCTTCCTGGCTGAAATGTCCCGCAAGTTTATGTCCAAAGACTTTCAAAGCAGCAAGCCAAAAACTTTGACTCAATTCTTTGACATCAGATCACAAAGGTCTTGAATCAATTGAAAGTAACAAGCAACATAAAAAAGCCAGTCTTGACTGAACTGGCTTTCCCTACCGTGTGCATATACATGTAATTCAATGTGCATTGGTTGCATTTTGGGCCTGCAGATAATTACAGGCCACTATGCAACGGACACCACATACATGTAGATTATATAGTGAAAGGATAGAAAGGCAGTTTTTATTTATCAGTCACTAGACAGGGCATCTTGGCTGAAACTGGAGAGTGGGCTGGTGAACCAACAGTAGTTAGGACTTCAAGTTAAGCAAGTTCCATGATAACAGCTGATATAATGAGACATGTGCTAAACTGCTATCCTTCTGACAAATCTACTGTGCTTCTATGAACTCTGCACAAACCCCTCTTAGGTCCTACATCATACATGTATCCGTAGCTTACCCTGACTCTAATCAAGAGAAGGCCCAGGTTCTCAAACACTGCCTGGAACAGGTGCAGCCACTGGGGGAAGCTGAGAAGTCTCATCTGATCGGCAAGGCTAAGAGACACATAACACAAAAATAATGGAGGGGGACTTTTGGTAATTTTTTCCTTAGTATTTGGACACATCAATGAAACTTGGATCTAAAAACTCAAATTCAATTGCTGTCTTAAAAATACCTTAATTAAAATTGCCAGATATTAAACATCAGGAAAATCCTATGAGAAAATGAATCCAAACAGAATCACAGATGGCCTTTTTCGTGCGTGTGAACAGCACGGTGCATTGGGACAAAATTTGTTGAGGGAACAGATTTTGTCCCAACAACTCAGTCCCAAATTCTCGAAGCAGGCCAGGGCAAACTGGCCTGGGTTAGGGTTAAGGTTGTGGTTGCCTCTACAGACAACTACACACATCCTGGAAAGAGTGTGCAATTTACAGCCCTCCAAATAGTACTTCAAGCCCAATCAACCTTGACAACCTCAGGCTAGAATGGTAGAGAACTGATGTTCCTGTGTGATGGCCCTAGGAATGACAAGGTCACACTGTTTTCTGTGCTTATGACCATGTGCATGTGTCTGCAAGATCAAGATTTCATCAATAGAGAGGTTTAGTTGCACGTTCTACGCGAACGTGAATGTGAAGAAAGTGTAGATTTTTGCTGACGTCATTGATTCGTGCGTATTGCCCCTCACGTACGGGTAGTTCGCACGGACGTCCAATACGTGAAACATGGCAAGTTCACGTTGGATCAAAACGTAAGAATCTGCAACTTTTTTGGAAGATTTTGAACTTGAATGCATTGACCATTCGCTGAGATGAAATGGACATTTTTAGAAAGTGCAAAGGTTATGCAACTAGGATTTTTTCACGCCTGGTTTATGATGACCGATTACACTTCTTTTGAGAGATTTACCGGATGTGATTGATCATTTGTAATTTTGCTCCGAGTTTTCATTGGAAGATGTACATTTTGTGCGGGATGCACATCTCAACATTCAAACAGACACTGGACACCCGCGAACCCGTGCCCAATAAAAAAATTGTCGCGTTTGCATTCATTTTTATGTAAAACGTGCATCTAAACCTCCCTCATACTGTATTTTAACAACCATCTTTGTCAATGAATACCTTCCGATGTTGGCATCATTATCCACATTATCAGCCGTGGACACTGCCTCCACAACGGTCTGTTTTATCAGTGCCTTGATGCTTTCAGCAGCCTCTTCTCTGTAGGTCTCCAAAAAGCTGAACCGATGCTGTCTTAGCATGCCCAGAACGATGGCAGTTAACTTGTCCTGAAAAAACGTGGCATGGCATTAAAGTTCACTTTGGGAGGGGAGAGTAAGGGAACATCTCACATGTTTAAGTTTCTTTCGAAACTGTTAAGGAACCTGGGGGTACATATGCAGTGGTTCTTAAGGCTTATTCCCAACTGATGCAGAAGCACACATGGAGGTGAAGAATCCCATCAATGGAAACTAACAGTATTTCCAGGCTATTCCCATTTGGGAACAATACGTATTCCAAATTGGCCCAGCCTGCACTCCCAGAGGCACATTAAAAGCACTGAAATCTTGGAGATGCTCCGCAAGCCCAAATGACCATCTACATGCAACATCAATCATCAACATGCTGTAGAGCAATGCCTGTATCTCAGCTTTACCTCATCAACATGATCTAGTCCATCAATCGGTCGGTTCAGGTCAGCTGCGGTAAATCTTGCAAAATCCTGGGTCATCATCTTGTCAATCAATTTCTCCAGCTCAACAAGCTGGGAGCCCAGGTGCCTGGCAGTGAAAACATGGAGACAAATTGGCAGACAAATTAATACAGTTAATAAAATTAAGGAGAACAGTTTGTGGCTTTATCTGATTAATAATGGGCCCCAGAAGTGTATTCTGTGGATACGAATGTTTTACCTGTATAGATACTTTTTACCTTGAAAGAAAAAGGAAAAGTGTTCAGTGTTTTGAAGCTTTCTGATTGGTTGACAGTCTTTGTGTGTGAACATTATTTAGATAAATACAGGTATAGACAATATTGGAGTTGTGCATGATATGAATTTTGATTAGCAAACTACAATAGTGGTGGTTAGGGCCACAAAAATCAAAATCAAAAGACTTCAAGGAAGTATTAAGGTATCCCAAGACGTGCCCACACAAATGGTAAAAGCAAGACCAGTGTAAGGCAAAACTCTCCACATCCTGAAAAATTTCACTGGAAAGCCCCAAGAATGTGAAACTCTTCACAGCTTTCAAAAGAGACAAATCAATCTATTAACTGTTACACTAAGGATTTGAGAGAAACTCGTTGGAAGTTGGTCACTTTCTAAAACTTCAAGAGTTGATTACATGTGTAATTACATTGTGCAAATGCATCTTTCACAGCCATACAATACGAGAAACAGTACTGTCAAAGCCTTACTGTGACTGTAATTAAAATTATCTTTGCACCTCAAAGTTGTTCCTCTATGAAAACTCAATACTAGGGAAACAGTTTTGCCAACATGCGTGTTGTAAAAACTAAGGTGGGGCGTGTTTTGCCATGCAGAGTTTTAAGTAATCTCTATGGAGTACGTGATTGAACTCTTGTGAGGAAAGTGCAAAATGCGGTTTTGTTGCATTGTTTCCCCATGAAGATTTCAATAGATTTGGTCAACGTAATTTCACCAAGTTGCCAGAAACAGATAGCAGGGTTGATGTAACCTGAAACAGAGATTTTAAAAAAGTGATGGGTTTTAGCCAAATGTGTGCCACTTTGTGAAAACACTGACAACCTGTTACACCAGCCTACCTGAAGCACTGCAACCCAGACAGCTCCTGGGTTAGGACCTCTTGCGTGGTGGAGATGAGGTCTAATGCACCCACAAACTCTGAGGTGGTGAGTAGAATCTGTATGGTTGGCTGGGTCTGGTGGACGGTAGCCATCAGTTTCAACTAGAGTACAACATGACAGGAACGAGTTTGGGATAACCACGAATGGGAAAAGTGAACAAGAAACAACGTAGCCAGCCCCTGTGGCATTCACATTTCCAAAGAATCTTCTAGAATCCTGGAGATTCCACCCGTTTGAAGAAACCATCACGAAACTGAATTCAATACGAAGAGGTTACTTTAACCCCTTGACGACGGGAATTTCTTTCCGAAAGCCGACTCCAAGAATTCCAGCCTCGCTTGGCCATGAAAGCCACCTGCCAAACACGCTTTGAATTACACGGTGAAAAGGCTGATTGTTCGGTGGCATGCGGCCCTACTCACACTTCCACATTACCGTTGCCTCTTTTCAAAGCGGGGACTATTGTGAAGCTGGTGATTATGATGCAAATTCCGTCTTTTCATTTCTGGGTTACACACAAAGACCAATTACCATACATACAAGAGCCAGGGTCTACCTTCTTTCACCGTGTTCGCTCGAGCGTGGGCCGAGAATAGTAGCTGAAAAGCGGGCCGAGGATCTCAATTTTTACGGCATTTCTAGCTACGTCCCGGCACAAAGGGGTTAAGAGATAATGCCTACTTACAAAAAATAAATGTACAGGTTTGCATGAAAGGCTGAGCACCCCAGGGAAAAATGGGGTAATGCAGAGGCTCTAAACACATGATGATCACTGACATGAGTTTGGAAGAAAAAAAAAGGAGGATGGTAAATATCGAGACATCTGATCCTACCTTGTTGAAGACTTTGACATAATTTGCTCTGGACATTTGCAGTTTGAGTATTCTCAGGTTGCCCTGTGCCAGAATTGCATCAATGCTGTTGATTTTACCCCTGAAATTTACAAAAGACATTTTAAAAAATGGATCTGGCTTATAGGAAGTAAATTTGGGCAATACAAGTGATAATAACATAGTGATATAATATTTTTTTGTCTATTCTGAATTAACTAGAGTCAGAAACCACCAAACAGCATCAGCTTCAGCAGAAGCGTGCATACCTCAGCTCCCGTATGGCCCTGCAGGTGGATGCCAGATTCTCCTGCAGCTTGTCGTGGGATGCCATTGCATTGAAGAAGGCATTGGATCGCAGTGAGATCTGCTGCGCTATTTGTACCTCAACAATGTCCAAGTAGTGGCTCAGCTGTCAGAAAGGAAATCATAAGCAGCTTTTGGTGAGCAAAGAGAGGCGAGAAAGTGAGGGTAGAAAAAAAATGTCAAGGTTTGCCCAGAATGCAAAAATGAAGTTTTCAATGAGACTGCACAGGCGGAATGTCTTTTAAAAATTATGCAGGGCGGCCATGTAACAGCTGTAACAAAGAGGCCGAATACCTGTCTCCAACAAAGTCCATGTATATCTTATTCACTGGTTTACATGACTGTTAAGATATGATCACATAAAAGTGCATTAATGTACAAATGTACATGTACATGCCTAGTGTTCAACTTCTTTGTGTGATGTCACCATCCAATATAGGTTACACAATTCAGTTTCTTGGTAATACCTTTTCTTGAAGCAGTTTTGACGATTGATGGCCTGCTGCTGGGTCACTTAACCTTTGACCTTTGAACTGCGACCAGGGGAGCACAGCCTCAAAAGTGTCTGGATTTTCCAGGGCAAAGTCGTTCCGGAAAAACACCTGTAGATGAAAGAGATTGATAGCTTTAAAATATCAACCCCCTCATGAGTGGCATACTGTACATGAATAATCTTATTAAACTCCAACCCTGCGATATGGTACATTTCTACGTTCTGATTATTTCCTTTGAGTTGACAAGGTAAAGGCAGTTTGCCTCTTCAGCCTTACTGCTGGAGCTTAAATAAAAACACATACATTAACACTTTGAAATTGATATACAGGTAAGAAAATTTCCTTTCTAAGTTTTGTACTGTGTTGGTACACTGCACCTGTTAATATTTACATGTAACACCTGCTCCTGTTGTGTATTGATTCATTACAGACGGCTTTCTGAAATGCACAGTATTTTCAGACGCTCAGTGCAAACGAAATGCCAACTACTTTTATGCACTTGTTAACAAATATGACCCATTTACGTGTGCCACATACTGGTACATGTACATTCGAACATGTGGTTAAAAGCCAGTGTTTCACCATTTTAAAACATGTTTTGATCGGATAGAATATGTGTAGAAAAGGTTCATTGGCAATACAGTGGAACGCCGCTATAACCAACAAGACGGGGTCCACGCTAAATGTTCGCTACAGCAGTCGTTCAGAATAGTGAATTTAACTGCCAAACATTTCGTTGCCATGTTGCCATTATTCTCTCCATGGAACTGTTACTCATTTTGAGTTCTTCTGATCATCAGAGAGTACAGAATGAGTACACAGATGTCTCTAGAAAGGATGTATCAGCGGATATTACTTCCCAAGAAAACTTGCAATCATTTAAAGCGACCATGAAACAGAAAGATTTTACTAAATTATACTAAAACCCTTGATATTGCACCTCAGGATTTCAATTTACCTGATTTTAAATGTTTGTTCTGCAATTTTAACCCATATATTGGAGCTTCTTTTAGTTTTTATGCTAATGCACATTTGCATATATTCATAAGCAAAACTACAGCATGATGTCATCCAAGGCACCAGGTTCAACTGTTGCACTAATTTGTGCACAGAAAATTTCTAGATTTTTTAACACTGCTATCATAGATTTCATTTCCTTTGGCAATTTATTGTTGTGTAAGTATAATTATGACAATAGGCAAGCAAGCAACCTTTTCACTAAATGTTTTCAGATGGCAAATTTGGAGTTCGCAATTTGAACATGAAAACATGCAAACTGAACCACGTCTTCCTTGATTTACCGTACATCAAAGGAAAAGCGCCCTCACTTGTCCAAAACTGCTTGGTCAATTTGGAAAGTTTAAAAAGTGCACTTTCAATTCACGTAACTCAAAACAAAAAGTCAAACAGTCTTCATACATGTATATTTAAGAAGAATACAGAGATACACAAAAAGTGATTCTAAGAAAAAATCATTTCATTTCCCATAAAAAGCCCAAACCCTGTGAAATAATTTGTTCCATACATGTTTATGTGCAACGAGTTTTCTGTTGAAGGTTGTCTAGTAAAGGGTTCCATACCTGGCACCATGTGGTACCATGTGACACCCTTTATACAAGCCTTATGAAATTGAGACTGGTGTGAAAAATAAATGTTCTTTAATTAAATTTTTCCCTGCCAAATTTTACTTTTATGGGACATGGTATTACTCTCTGGTGGCTGCTTCATGTACATGTATGTCACTGCAGGGATAATCAGCGATGCCCATCTGTGGATTTCTTTCCGATGTCCACACAAAATATGATTTGTTCCAAATTCATCCCAACAGCACCGTGAATCAAACAGCAGTCTAGCATCTGTTCACGTACAGTATATGTGCTACGGACAAGGGCTGTGCACAAAGAAGTTGGACGATGACAGATCCGTACATATGCCATCTTGAAAACCTATGCCCAATGTTTGATTTGCATGACATATGGTTGCTACATGTACAGTACATGTAACACTGTAACTATAGAAATTCCAACCTTGGAACACGCTGACAAAATGTAGCGCTTGTTACAGGCAATAAAACTATATTACAGAAATTTATGCAATTTGCCCTGGAGTGTATAAATAAACATGGAGTATATAAACAAATACATTTTATGTTAACACAGCTAATTCATTTCAAGTTCCTGTGCATCTTGCATCCAGAATCAATATGAACTTTGAACATTTCCATCCACAAAGTATCGATTTCAACAAGGGTGGCAAATGGTGAATAAGAATGGCACAGTCACGTGACTGTCAATACTACTGGTAGTAGGTTTTGGATGGTGAGCAGGCGCATGCACGCACATGATTCACAAGTGCTGAACATACATGTACATGTATAGACACGTGCTGCTACTGTGCAGTAATCAAAAGTCACCTTAGTCAATAACATTGCCTACAGGTACATGGGCATCGTCTACAGCCAAAACGAGCAGATGAGTGGGCACTTTCTAATGACCATGAAAATCTTGGGAAAGAGCAAAACTACAAGTTTGCCGATAAGACTCACTGCAAACGTACCTTTGGGATCTGCTCCAGTTCTGTGCTACCTCGCTCTAAAAGAAAGCAACAAATATTTAAGTTATGTTGATTTACAAATATGTACATGCACAGTGGTCAAGTGGTTTGGTCTTACCTGCCCAGGGGTGCGCAATATGTAACGTTGGCATCATGATTTATTCAACACCACAAAATCTGTCATTAAATCAGTTTTAAGAATTATATTACCCATATCAACCTACATGTACATGTACATGCACACAAACATGCAGCACAGAGATGTAAAATATGGCACCAGAGGCTTCCAGCCACGTACATGTACATGTATGCTGTAAGCACAGAGGTACATGTACACTGTACATGTAAATGTATGGAATCTTCCGGTACACTTAAACAGTACACTTTAATTTGCTTTGAGACTACAAGTATGGTACATGTACAGACGAAGCTGACCATGCTCAGCTTTAAAACCTCCTAACTGATCCATGTACGTGTAACAACGTACATGTAACTTGTGTTGAGTCCAAATTTCCACACTAGTTTCAAGCATACAGTGCACATGTACATGTACACGTATATCATCCTATATGCACTGCTGTGTGAAACAACAGCATGTCTATGCATGTACAACACGCAGTACCAGTAACAAAACCGGTATTTGTTAGAATGTTTGTGAAACTCAATAATGAAACAACAAGGAAATATCTCACACATTACATGTACATTCTGCAAAAAGATGAGAAAATTTTGCACTGCTGTACAATATCTACATATAAGTTGTACGCTCATTTTTATCGATTCCGTCCGACATGTTAACATTACTCTTTATAACAAATAAAGAAAAGTGTTGAATTTGGAAGTAATGTCATGTGTCAAT